AGCGAAAATGCACACTCCGACGCAGTGATTAATATTACGCCGGTATAAGGTTGTCTGCATGGAACTCTGTATAGGGGAGAGGTCACCATTTAACCATTCATTTTGGAAACGATATGTTGGACTAGTGCATCCCAATATAGAAGAACAGATTCGTTCTGTTTATGATAATGAGCCCGTGAAGTGAGTGAGTGAGTATGGTTTTACGCCGCTTTTAGCAATATTCCAGCAATATCATGGCGGGGGACACGGGAAATGGGCTTCACACATAGTAGCGAGCCCGTGAAGATCTGGTCTGCAGTTCGGAGGCGGTAGTCTGTTAACAATCGAGTATAGACCCGACAGTGACCGATATCATGGGCACCAGTCGACAGAGTTGGAATACATGGACATACATTAACCAAATCACCGAGCCTGACTGCAGCTCCCGTAAGTCGCCTCCTAAGACAAGCGTTGGTTGCTGGAAATCAATTCAGATCTTCACGGGTCAAGAAACTTAAGCGATAAGGTTACATCTTCTGCTTAATGATTGTACATGTTATTTGCGACCTGTCCGTTGTTGTAGCAACTTCAACTCGATTCTTTTCTTGTCTTGATAGTAATCGCTGTAAAGAGGTTTTGAGCACTAAGATCTGCTTTTCATGAGATTTCAGTGCTTCGTCAAAACCCTACTCATATAAAACCTACCAGCTGAAATTCTTCCATTCTATTCTTCATCAACTTTCTTCATGTTTAATGGGGTTCTACTTCTGGTCGATTTTTTCTTGGAATAATTTCTTCCTTCAAGAGTTCCACATGGAAAACACTCAAAGTTGGCATTTGAGATCATACGAGGTGTATGTTTTTTGGGGGTGTATGTACAAAAATGACGGCGTTTAGCGGCCATAATGTATTTTTGGGTTTTGCGATTTAACAGCCTCACGCTAAATGCAAGGAAACACGCTAGCTTTTATCAACGATCCTTTGGTCGACGTTGGGGCCAAACATCTTGTCTAGTGGGTCTTCTGTTGTGGGTATATGTTTTTCAAGACGCTTTTAGCAATATTCAAGCAATATCACGGCGGGGAACACCACGGATTGTACTCATGTGGGGACTCGAACCCGGGTCTCTGGCGTAACGATCGAACGCTTTAACCACTAGGCTACCCCACCGCCCCGAGCGGAATGTGAACCATGTCCACCTACTGGCAGGCCCTCATTTATGAGAGGGGCGATGTGGTAGCCTAGTGGTTAAAGCGTTCGCTCGTCACATCGAAGACCCGGGTTCGATTCCCCACATGGGTACAGTGTGTGAAGCCCATTTCTGGTGTCCCCCGCCGTGATATTGCTAGAATATTGCTAAAATCGGCGTAAAATACAATTCACTCACTATTATTGCCATAGATATAAGAGCTGACATTTTAATAAGGGCTCACGGGAAACATAGGCCAGTGTGTTTTATTCGAGGTTTATTTACAGGTACCTATTCTACCTACCACAAATGCCACATTTTGGAGGCAGATGCGGCACAGACACCTTGGTTTTGCATGTTTCCTTGGAATGAGAGATGGTAGACGACAGACGTCATCATCTCACATCCTGTCAGGGGAATATTCCATGTAATCTGGCAAGCTTCTTCATTTTTCAAAAAAGCATTTCATCGATCGCTAATTGCTGCACTTGCGTAATCTCGACTGATTTAACGGAAATCATATAACCAAAATTACACAAGACTAATCATGCATTTCTTGCCGTAGCACTGGATGAAACAGTCGGTCTTTTGACAGTCAGCGTTGAAATCCCACAAGGTTGACACACATTCTTGGATTCAGAGCACAGTGTATACAAGAGTAGATATGCAGAAGCAATTTCAATTCATGATTTTGAAGTGTATTTGTCTTGTTGTCTGTTCAATATCTGTGCACCGAGTTTCTTTCTATCGTGGGATCTTTTGAAACTAAAACATATCATAACATTCAATACAATTTGTTTTACGCCACCTTTAGCAATATTCCGGTAATATCACGATGGAACTGGGCTTCACACATTGTACCCATGTGAGGAATCGAACACGGGTCTTTGGCGTGACGAGCGAACGCTAAATAGCCAGTAGGCTGCAACGATTCGCCCAGACCTCGATTCGATTCGATTTTCGATATTGGACCCTCGATCCGATCATTTTCGATTCGATTCTTCATACAAGTGAAAACATCAGATTTCATTATAATCGCAGTCGGCTTTTTCAGCGTGAACTCCATCGTCACATTGGCGATGTCTACTAACAAACAATTCTCATTGAATAATTAGCCCGGTGTCAACCAATCATGTTTCGCCTTATTCCAGTGCTCGAAAGAGTCAACATTACGTTCTGGAAATAATTTAAATAGGTATTCAAATATCGAATCGAAATAGATAAATAGAAAAATGGCTATCGAAAATCGAAATCAAGGTATGTGATTCGATTTTCGATGAATCGAACCGAATCGTTGCCGCCATATTAGTCACTTGTGTACCCCACCGCCCCATATGAACTTGTAACAGGAAAGAACGGCAATCAAATTATATTGGAGCCAACATGGGCGGGAACATTCAAGATCCGGGTATAGTCGTTTCCGGTATATACCTGTTATATACGTAACAGGAGTGGGGGAAGGTGTTTTACGCCGCTTTTAGCAATATCACAAAAATGGGCCCATGTGTGGGACCGAAACTGGTCCCCCACATGGGAACTTCAAGATTCGGGTATTCGTTTCCGGTAGAGAAGACCATTGCGAACAAGCACCGTATATCGGACGTCTCATAAAGGCAGGACAGTAACGAAGGTCTAAAGCCTAAGGATGGAGTTTAAACAACAAACAACCGCAAAGGCAAGAAGTCACTTCCAAAGCGCAAATATTGCAAATACACCACTGTCAACAACAAAACTAAGGGGCGTTGGGATAGCCTAGTGGTTAAACGTTCGCTCGTCACGCCGAGAACCCGGGTTCGATTCCCCACATAGGTACAATGTGAAACCCATTTCTGGTGTTCACCGGCGTGATATTGTGGCGGTCGGGACTCAAACTTCTAATAAACCTTTCAGGCTTGGGTTTAGGAAGAGTCAAAGACTTCTATTCAATGAATAAATAGCTTTTTATTCATAGGTATAAATTTACTTCAGCACAATGCTCTATTTTAATAGACCCGTGAAGATCCGGGGTAGAATAGTGATTTTCAATAACCCATGCTTGTCGTAAGAGGCGACTAACGGGATCGTGTGTCAGGCTCGCGGACTTGGTTGACACATGCCATCGGTTCCCAATTGCGTAGATCGATGCTCATGGTGTTGATCACTGGATTGTCTGGTCCAGACTCGATTATTTACAGACCGCCGCCATATAGCTGGAATATTGCTGAGTGCGGCGTAAAACTAAACTCACTCTCTTTTAATAAGTAGATCCCTCTCAATGTGCATGGACCAGTGTTAGGCAAGGTGAGGTGAGGTGAGATTGGGTTTAACGTCGTGCTTGAGAATATTTCGCTCATATGACGACGTGCATGCGTGTGTATGTGTGTATGTCATGTATTACTTTATCATGGGTTCCTACATTGTCGGTACATTGTCATTGAATTTGATTCTCTCTTTGCTGAGTTGTCAGTTAATTGTAGCTGAAGTGTGAAGACGTTTTGCTCTCCCATTAATCCATTAAATGTTGAAAATGTATTTCTCATAATATTTTCATTAGAAAATGAACCTCAAACAAATTTCAAGGCAATCAGAAGTTTTGACCTTGCCTAAAACTGCTGACATTGTGTCAAATAAATTTCAGAAAAGAGGAGGGTTCTGGGTAACTGCTGATCAGACTTATCAAAATGTTTCATATCAGTCGGAGAAATCATCAATATTAATATCATGTGCAAGGTTTCATGGTAATACTTTTTGTACTTTCTGATTAACAAGATATTGCATTTATTTCCTTCAGAAACTTCCATTTCATTTCCTTCAAATACTCAAGAGCTGTTTTCTCTTTGACATCATATGTGCACGTGGTACCTTGTATCATCATTGCCCCATTGATCCTTCAAATACGTATTACCAGCATGGAAAGGTTTATGACAATACATGTACATTGTATCTAACGAACTTTTTCTGGCCACAGAGTGTAAATTACAGAGAATAATAACATTATTCCTGGTTAATGGATCCAATCAAAGCTACACGTGAAGGCGTTTAAACGTTAGCAGTCCATCTCATCCCGCCGGGTACCCATTCACTGCTGGGTGAACAGGGGCAATTTTGTACAAAGTCACTTGCCCATGGTGAGACCACGTGTTACATGTGCTTGGTTGTGGGGCAGGACTGAAGTAATAGGTTTTTAATATGCTGTTAGTAACACTGTGCGGACAGTTGCAGGTTTTCGCGGCCAAAACAACATAGAATATATATACTATAAAACAAATATAATATAATAAAACAAACAGAGCTCGACAGTCCTCCATACCATCCAGTATTCGTGTTATTAATGCAACGAATACTTTTGAATAGTCATCTTGCATGCGATAACTACTAACTCAGCCGCTTTACCTATGTGGTTAATGGTATGGAATCATAAGCATTCATTTTGTGCATGTAATTATTGTGTATATTTTGTGGATTTTGTATATATTCATTTTGATGTTTTTGATACAAAAAGAATTTCTTCCGGGATAATAAAGTTATATCTTATCTTCTCTTACTAGCATGTCCGAAATGTCTTCGATAAAATTTAAGTCCCTACTCACTGTGAAATATTGAAATCTGTTTAAGTCAACGTAACATTAATATATTAGCTATCCAGACAGTATTATTCCAACAACCTTGAAGCAGATCTGGGTGCCGTTCCACCAACCGATCTCATCTAAGATCAATCTTAGCAAGTTACGCCAATTATACAGTTTTTCTATTCCTTTGTATCCCAGAATATGTACATCAGTGTTATACATTCATTTAATAAAACTAAGTCTAAAATAGACTAATGAAGCTAGAAATTAACCCCCAAAAAGTAAGCTAGTATGAAATGATAATGTCGTTTCCACGCATTTATTTCGACCTTTCTCTGTCGCACACCATGACATCGAAAGTAAAGGGCATATTTCAATGATCTCACAGAATATCGGCCACGAGTTACCCCCGAGTATAGTAAAACTCCTCACAGTGGAACGAAACCGGCAATGTCCGGAGCTACAATATCAATGACTGTAGAGTAACTTCCCTTGTCCTTCGAGTATGACAAACGTAAACACGACGAACTATCATCTACGATTCCTGCCATACGGAAATTTATTTCGACTGGGATATGTGTAGCTTTAAAGACACTCGTACCGGGTCATACAAATACTACATGCATATCACCTAGACTTGATTTCGTAGGTTTTACGATCGTGGGACAACTTCTGAAGTGTTGACTGACAGAAAAAAATGAACGGACAATGGCGACTTACATGGAGTAGCTCGTAACTTACCTTACTGTAAGTAGGTTGTTATTGTTGATATCGTTATTACCTACTTTGTTTTGTACGGGCGGAAGTCTTACCAATGTTTCATTTGTAGTTACAGCAAATATAATATCCCCCTTGGGTATGATCACAGCAAGCTTAGGGACCGTTCATAATGTAAGGTGTGATGGTGTGTGATGAAGATTTTTATGGAGATGTACAATGTGAATGCGCCCCCCCCCCACACACACACACACACACAATTATGTACAAAGTAAATGACCCTCCTGCATGTCATGTACAATATCAACCCCACCCCCACCCCCGAATAAAATGGGTGAAACAAACAAATACACACACACACACACACACACACACCTCTCTTAAAATCATCATATCCGCCCCAGCCATATTTTATGAACGGTCCCTTAACCTTTCCTTTTCTGAGTCGAGGAACCGAAAACACACAAAACTTACAACTTACAACTAATCATAATGACACCAGGTTGAAACTATCTGTGGTCACATTTTGATCTGATTCACTTGTCTAAAATATAGATATTATCAATGTGTTTTGTTTTTGCAATGTGTTCCCTTTAAAATTTCCAAATTGTAACAGGAAAGAAATTATGGGTGAACATGGTGAAATGAACAACAAGTCTGCCAGCTTGCAGAGTGATAATCACTAATAGTCCTAAGAACTAGGACTGTGTATTGGCAAATAAATTGTATTGTAATCTATTGTGATACATGCATTTGTATTGCGATATATTAGGAGCTTAGACATGTTAGAATGGTTGACAAATGAACGACATGCAGTGTACATGCAGATCCTATTTTCCACATCCTAAGACCATAAAACATAATGATATAGGTAGGATAACGTCAATCTAGAAATCAGGTTTGATAGTTTAGGATTTTTTCTATTTTATACAATTTATAGTATGTAAAGTATAGAATTTGGTCAAATAATTTATGAATGTAAACGTCAGAGCTCACTAAAAAAAAATGTGTAGACCATACAGATGATGACAAAACTTGTCATAATATTTTACCTAACATACTGTTTTTCAGAAAAAATATTGCAATATGTATTGTTTAAGAAGCAACTTGTTGCATACCCAGCAGTCCTAATAGGAACACACTAAAATGTTGAAAATTCTACCAACCTTTTGGATGCTTTAAAGATTAGTGAAACTGAATTTAAACAACGGAACATCCTCGATTCGAGCTATATGGTGGTTTGTAACTAATCGGGTCTGGACCAGACAAGCCAGTGATCAACAGCATGAGCATTGATTTACGCAGTTGGGATACGATGACATGTGTCCACAAAGTCAGACATAACATTCAAAAATGAAGATTTGAACAAAGTTATGAAGTGATCTGAAACCCTTTGAGTTTATGGACATGCTTAAAAGATCATAGTAATTAATTTCCAATAATATTAGTTTCAGTTCAACATGGAGAAAGGGATCCCAGTGCCAGACAGATTGTCTCAAGACTTTCATAAAGAGTTACTGGATAATGTTGATGAGTTCTATCACTTATACTCCATTCTCCACATCGCAGGCAACAAGACTGATATACTTGAATACATTGCCAAAGAAGGCCCTGGGATGGTCTATAGATTCAACAGGCTGTGTTACTACAAGGAGTCCCATTTCATTGAGGATATTCCAGACTATCCCCTCAGCTGGGCTGCAGCAGGAGGTGATGTGGACATCGTAAAGGCATTGATCAAAGCTGGGTTCAACCCTCATATCACAAATAAGGAAGAAAACACACAAAAGGATTTCCGGATACCACTTGTGCGAGCAGTAGAAAAAGGTCACCTACCTATCGTGAGATTGCTTGTTGAAGAACATGGTTGTGATGTTAACGTCAGTGATGGCTACTTCAAACGGACTGCCCTGCATAGAGCTGCTCAGAATGGTGATTTTACGATGGTTAAATACCTGGTTGAACATGAAGCAGACGTGAATGCTGTGGACAGCGTCAATGGAGTGCCCTTGTATCACACGCTTGATGATCACAAAATGGTGAAGTATCTTATTGCCAATGGTGCCAAAGTTAAAACTTGGGGTCGGCATAACTTGCCTCTGCTATCCTATGCTGCAGATTGCTGTGATGATTTGGATGTCTTTCGGACACTTATAGAAGCAGGGGCGCACGTTAATCATGGTGGGCCACCCACGACACCTTTCAATAGCGCTGCCGAGCGTGGAAGGCTCGCTTTGATGAAGCTGTTGTATGAATATGGTGCTGATGCAGACCTACAGGACATGTATGGAATAACTGCACTGCATGTTGTTGGTAAACATACTGACACTGTCTGTGCACGGTACCTTATCATGGACTTAAATGTTTCTCTAGACAAAACGGATGGGTTTGATCGTACCCCTTTTTCAGTTGGAGTGAAATGTGAGCACCCTCAGTTTCTTCATCTCTTGATGGATGCAGGCTACAGACCCACTGGCAAGGATAATGACTACATCCATCATAAGAGTCTAACCACAACAGATTTGTTGCTGCAGGCTGCATTGCATCGTGCACAGGCCATGACAACTAGTCCGTGTTCACTTCAGGACAGATGTTGTTTCAAGATTCGAAGGATGGCAGGTAGGGATGTTCAATCCAAAGTGGAACAGTTGAATCTTCCGGTTGTCATGAAGGACATGATCAAACTGAACCATTTGAAAACTGATTTGATTGATGAAATTTGATTTTTAGTTTGTCTTGATGATAAACTGGTCCCATGTTGCCGTTTACTTGATTGAACATGTTGAAAGGGATTGTGTAAAACAACAGCATTGTTGGTTATGTTGGATGTTGGGCTTGCACGAATAAATTTCTTCCCATCTCGTTAAATCAGCTCTCAGTTCTTCCTACTACTGGAAGGAGGTGGGGTGGCCTAGTGGTTAAAGTGTTCACTGAAGACCCAGGTTTGATTCCCCACATGGGTACAATGTGTGAAGCCCATGTCTGGTGTCCCGCCGTGATATTACTGGAATATTGCTAAAAGTGGCGTAAAACTAAACTCGCTCACTCACTCCTACCACTATACAAGAATGACCTTTCATCCAACCAATCAGGGCTTTGTTTACCAGTCTGGGATAGTGACTGCCAGAATTTATTTTCTAATAGTACAGCCGTGAAAAGGTTTACTCAGGAGTATTCTGAACAATAATTATTCCATCAAAATCATCATGCATCATATTGCCTGCAAGGACCCTTAAAACAAATATAAATAATTAAGGGTCCCAATGACCCCCATGTTTGTGAGTCGAGATAAAACCCTGCATAAACATTATAGGTAGAGGGTTAACTGTCTTAGACAAGCATTACAATCATGCGTCCAGAGGGATGCACAATATTATTCACTGTACCCACAACGCATCTATGACTTTGATGTTTGGTGGTTTCTTTCAGAGCAGTCACGTGCATCATTTCATCCATCAGTCCAACTGATCAATGATAGATTCCACGCTCTAAAGAAATTATCAAAACGTACAGTTCTCTACACTGTTACTTCACAGGACCCTTGTATTGTCTGCAAGAACCCTAACAATTAATAATTGACGGTCCCCGGGACCCCCATGTTTTTGAGTTAAGGTAAACCCTGCCAGGGTTTCAAATTTTATGATTAGAATTGATTACTCTGTAACATGTATAACTCACAAATCTCACAGCCACATTGTAAATAAGAACAGCTATGAATGCTCTCTGTTCCACTCTTTTTGTATGCTTACTCAAATAGCCGAGGCAGATGAGTTGTCAGAATGAAATTATTAAACAATAGCAATACATAATTATGATGATGGATGTAGTTTTCTTGTTGTCATGGTGACAGTTGCATTTCTTAAAAATTGATATGTGATATTGATTGGTTTATGTATTTCTGTGCAGTGACTTTTAACTAGTTCAGAAGATTTCTGGAATTTGATTCCCAATGTGATGTTTTTCACCCAGCCTGACTGCAGAGCACACTCTCATTCATTTTACAATGTCATATAATCTATTTAGCATTTTGATGTATTTATTTTGTGTTAATGTTTATATATATATTTTCATGTTATATCAGTCGATATGCACCGCTTCAGTCATGTTTTAGAAGAGAGTTTGTAATGCAGAATTGCTAGACAGCTTGTGGACATGGTGGAGAAGCAGTTACCAAGGTAACTGGTGCCATAGTATATGTAATCAATATGCCTATTGAGGTATCCAATATTAAGTACAAAATATTGTAAGAAACCCAGATTAGTTTGATTTGTTCATTTGTTCTTGGAATATCTGAATCTTTGAAATTGCAAGTTTGATTGTTATAAAATGATTAGGACCCAGGGACAATAACAATATTCTCGTTCTGGATATTGATAATAGGATGGAGCAAACGAAACGAAAATGTCTGTTTTGGTTTTTGTTACCATGGTTAGTCCTTAAATATAGTTTTAGTTGATTTATGGGACTGACTGACACTAGTGACAGAAACCCTTAACATTAGAACATGTTGAAATTTATAAAATCAACTTTTTCTTTCCTGGAATGAGGGGGCTTAACAAAGGAGACTTTTGACACTATTTTGGCCAAACCTTTACAAATAGCTTAGAATAACACAAGATTTTATCTCTGATTTCATCATCGTAGAAACATAATTTCAACCACCTATAATTTTTAAGAATTTTTGGCAATGGAAATATTAAAGGCCATGGTCCAGGTTAAATTGTCAGTGAGTCGGTTTTCTGCTATACATTTGATTAACATGATAAGGAAAATTCCTCACATTAACGTCACAACCATCTTGATTTTTAATGTTTGTTAGATACATTTCTTTTGTAACAGTGGGAACAGATATGATGTAAATATAAAGAAGTAATTATTACAATGAGATAAATACACAATGTTGTGGATGTCTGGTACCATTACTAAATACCCTTCTTGGGGTAGGGTGATGGGCTTGTTGCCATGGGATACCTTGTTAACTGGGGGTGAGAGTAAACACCTACACTGAGTGAGCGTTGAGCTGTGTTCTTAATGTTCGAACATCAAATAAATGTTTCAGAATTACAAAGTATGTAGGACTTTGTCAGCATACAGAGCAGACAGGCCACACTTGTGCTACCAGGAGTGGGATAAATGAAATGTCTTTTAATGTTATTTCTCTCTAAAGAATTGACCTGTTGAATGAACATTTCACAGAAACCTTAAGCAAATTTTGTTTTCATCATCATGATTGTTGTATTTGTACTTGTGGCCTTGGAGGTCCAACTGCCAGAACTGAAAGGGTTTTGTCTGATGCATCCCTGAAAGTTTTGGTACAACTATTATGCAAGTAAATATTGTTAGAAAACAAATATACAGATTTTCACAATAATATTAATGATTTGTTTTTATGTCACCCATCCATATGGGTGCCCATTTTTGTAGGACATATTGATAACACTTCAAGTAAAGTTAGTTTTCTTTGAGACTATTTTCAGTGCTGTTAACAAGGAAATGTTTTGTTTATGTTTATGATTTACCCAAATATTACTATGGTTGCTATATTCTAGATTATTTGTTATTTGACTGCACAGTGACTGTGATAATACAATCAGAAATGTTTTTTCCCCCAGTGTGTTAATAAACTAACCTACAGGAAGATCTGTTTTGTGAGATTATTTTCTGTAGGCAAGTGTATGTTGTTTTGTGTAATGGTATAGTCCGTTTGGCTCAAAAGCAGACCGATGAATTGCAATCTAACTCGAAAACTAATAAACACAACATACTCAATGAAACGCTGATCATAATCATACTCAATGAAACGCTGATCATAATCAAAACCTCATACCAACTCTGTGAGGTTTTTGCAGAATTTTTGTCCTAAAAATAATAAAGTTGTTTAACAAACTATCATTAAAATATTGACACAGTTCACTGTTTGTTACGAGGGAGGAGTGCAGAGAAAGGGACAGCCAGGTGTTCGACAAGCACGTTCACAGACAAAGTTATTTATTCATTAACCTGCGCTGTGCCGTCTCCATCCGTTCTCGAACACCTGGCTGTCCCTTTCTCTGCACTCCTCCCTCGTAACAAATAGTGAACTGTGTCAATATTTTAATGATAGATTGTTAAACAACTTTATTATTTTTAGGACAAAAATTCTGCAAAAACCTCACAGAGTTGGTATGATGTTTTGATTATGATCAGCGTTTCATTGAGTATTTTATGTTTATTAGTTTTCGAGTTAGATTGCAATTCATCGGTCCGCTTTTGAGCCAAACAGACTATAGAATGTGCTAGTGGTTGAAGTCATGAAGAACAACTCAGTAGATGGCATCAGAAGTGGCATAAACTACCTGAATCTAATTTATTTGGAATATTTGATAAGGTAGTTGTACTGGAACCCAATACCGTTTGATATCTAACTTTTAAAAGGAATTTTGAAATGTCAATAAAAAATATACACCTTGAACATGCTGAAAAGTTCTCATGTCCTTGAAATGAACTGAATGCCAGATAAATTTCCTTGGCCTGTCATAGGCGGATCCAGGCGGTGGGTGAGCACCTCCCCTTTTGTCCAGAAGGCTTATTACATGTCATTGAAACTCTTGCAAAAAAGCTGTGAAGATGAATTGTGCATCCCCTCTTTCTCAAAAAGCTGTATCCAGCCCTGCCTGTCATCACTGACCTATGTTCACGAGTTGGACCAAAGATGAAAAAGTCAATGACTGACTTCACTTCAGGACTTCTTCAACAACCACATGAAACAGAAATGTCTGTATCATAACCAACATAGTTCTTTGGGTACTGAACCCAAGTCACTCCTTCACATAATCAAAAGGCTCACATGACGAGTGACAATCCAGTGATCAACAGCATGATCACTGATCCATGGAAATGTGACACGATGGGATACAGTTGACCCAAGTCAGCGAGCCTGACCACCCAATCCCGTTAGTTGCCTTTTACGATAAGCATGGGTTACTGACGACCAATTCTAACCCGGATCTTCACGGGACCTGCTGGAGATTAAGTCCATTTCCTAGGTGATATTGTTGCAATATAATTGAATCCTTATGCTTTGTAGACCATTTTCAAGTGACTGGTGGCTATGAGATCACTGATATCCTCTATAATGTCTATTCATGCTGATCATGAGAAGAATTAATGGTTAAGTGAATTCCAAAGCAAAATGATTAAGTGGGTTTAGTTTTACGCCGCTTTTAGCAATATCATGGCGGGGCACACCAGAAATGGGCTCCACACATTGTACCCATGTGGAGAATCGAACCCAGGTCTTTGGCATGACATATGCTATATTCTAAGATACTTTGCTAAAAGATCAAAGGCGATCAAAGTACACTTTTTGCATGATGTCCATCTGTATTGACGTCACTACGCCATTCTCATCTGCCCCCTCGTTATCAAACATACCCTTGGTAACCGACGTCATGATGCATGTCAGTTGTCATCGCCTCGTACAGTCTCCTACAGTAATACCAATTTCTTGGTTTGCAGTTGCTTCACTCGGCTAACATCACTGGAACTTAGTTAAGCACCCCTGACATATCTCACGATTGAATGAGCCCGATCTTAACCCTTTGGAGCATATCTGGGACATGATTGGTCGTCGTGTGCAACAAAGGGATCCTCCTGTACAGAACCTGGCCCAATTGGAAGCTGCTTTACACGAGGAATGGCGTAGACTGCCCCTTCAGAGGATCAGGAGGCTGACAGGGGTATGAGGAGGAGAGTGCTGGCTGTCATACAGTCACATGGAGGTTACACTCGGTATTGACCTTGAATCGTGTAAGACACGCAAAATGACATTTTGAATGTTCACATTCACCAATAAATTCAACATTAAACATTCCAGGGCCATACTTGTACAGACATGGTTTTGTATGAAAATCAGTGTTTTTTAAAATGAGCAATTATCATCATAAAATCAACATGGATTCCAATCATTTTGTCGTTTTTTATGAGTCAAAGGATCATACGGGTCAGAAAAACTAATGTTTTTCCATCGTGGTCACCACGAGAAGTTTTATGTACGTGTTGAAAACCTATCATTGCAAAAATACAGGGGTGCTTAATTAAGTTCTTTGTGTATAAACTTCATGCCATGAACAGTAACATTTAATCACTGTCCGTGTAGTCAGTCACTGTTCCAAGCCAGTTCCTCATCATTCCGTTTTTCTTCTGAAGTCTGCACAGCAAAATATCAACATGTTCAGGGTGAAAGTTGGTAAAAATATGAGGAGGCAGTTTGCAGTTTCAGGTAGCACCAGAACAAGTTATAAATGTTTAAATCAGGCCCTGACGGCTGTTCCTGCATTTGCTGGCATCAACTCTCAACTGGTGGTAAATACAGACTGACCATAAGAAGTGAAACGAGGAAATAATATTTATGTTGTTTTTCTTCTGGATTGATAACACAGACCCTTGAAACAAATACATTTTATTGTTACATGCCTGAGAGCAATAAATAATTTTCATAATTTACAAAAACAGAAGTATAATTGTTTTCTCCTTTGGAAAATGAAACTAATTTCTAAGTGGGTTGTCCAGTTGAACATGGTACAATTTGTCGTAGAGTCACAGTTGATATAGGTCCCAAATTCCTGGCTGGGATTCATTTCAGGGCAACCACGAGTGATAAATAAGTGGATAATATTCTTTTCAAAATTAACTCTGTTAATACTGTACTGTTGTTTATAGGTCAGTAAGAAGTACTATCCCTGAGATCATTGAAAACACACACACACCTGTCTGCCTGCATGCCCGGCTTCTAGAGGTTCTTGCTGGCAGATAGTTTCTGTTCGAATGGCATGACTGTTGATTTCACATGGTTCTTATCATGCTAGTAGTATACTACTCCCATTTTCATAGGGATGATCAGATATGTCATTCAGTTTAACTAATCTTGGCATTTTGTGAAATTCAATTTTTGTATCAGTGATTAAAATAACCATATAAAATATCGAGTGGTATGTTATACAGTCTGCCAGAAGTTTCTTTTGTAATAAGCAGTAGGGTAATCCTAGCACCAGTAGTATTTGGCCAGGTTATTATAAAACTTTGTGAAATGTTACCCTCTGAAAATCATCGAGATAAACAGGAACTCGTATACAAGCATCATACCAGCAAGCATATCTACACACCTCTACTTTCAATCCACTCCACAGGCTCGACCATTCTTACTTCACTGCCCGTATCATCCTTCACCTTGATCATCATGACCTTGGCCCCCACTCCTACTTCTTTTTCTCTGCAGGGCTTTCCTTTGTTCTCGCATTTCCTTTCTCTGTGCTTTCTTCTTATTCCTCTTCTCGTTGATCTCCTGAGCTTTCTTCTTTTTCTTCTTCTTCTTTTGAGCCTTACTTGTACAATTATCATTATTTTGTTTCCTTTGTTTATGCTCCTTGGGAGTTTCACCCTCTCTTGCATCACTGTTATCTCCTCTGATGACCTTTCTGTCATGTGAGTCCTTACTATCTTTGTCCTTGTCCTTAGAAGACAAACTATCCTTCCTGACCATGTCATCCTCAGAAGCTTCTCTATCCTTCCTGGGCATGTCATCCTCAGAAGCCTCTCTAGCCTTCCTGGGCATGTCTTTGTCTTTTTTTGAAGACTCACTTTCCTTCCAATGTGATGTCCTGACATCACTACATTTCCCAGAATTCCTACTCCTATCCCTTTTACGTTTTCTGGATCTTTCACAATCAATACTGTCCCTTCTGATATCATGCCTTGTCTCACCTGTATCCCTGGCAGGCCTTTCATAGAGAACTTTATTACTTCTGCACACATTATCCATATGTTTTGTCCTGCTTCTGCTCTCACTAGATCCACCTCTACTGCCCCTGTCCACACTACCTATCCTGTCACCACTTTTCCGTCTCTGCCTCTTTCCACTGTCCATGTGTTTCCTGGACCTTCTGCTCTCGGCATCCATCTCCCCTGAGTCAGTATCACTAACCTTCTTGTTGTCCCGATAGTGTCTCTGGGCTGACTTCTTAAATGGTTTTATATGAATCATCGGACACTCTGTATGACCTGCTTTGCCCTCCTCCACTCGTCCATCTCCTTCCTCTGCTCCACCACCAACAGTTGCCATCTTGGTTTCCTGCCCAGATTTATCATTTTCTGCTTCATCTCTGGACACTTTCTTGCTTTCATTATCTGACCTATCGCTACCTTTATCAGCTATTGTATTTTCAGAGTCCATTTTCTCACATGAAGCATGTTCTGTGTGTGGAATGTCGGAGATCTGGGTTTCAACAACAGTTGGAAACAAATCTTCACTCTCTCCCTTCTCAGCCTCACCACCTTCTTTCTCAGCTTTCCCACTTTCTCCTTTTGTGTTCATAACCAAATGGTCATCTTTCTTACTTTCGTGATGTTCACTTTTTTCCTTCCTCATCTTCTTACCTGTCTCAAGTTCGTCTCCATCAATATCATGTTCACCTCCATGAAGAGGCTTCTCTGTCACTGTGTCATCTTGGAGCATCTCCATGTCCCTGTCTTCTCTTCTCTGGTTGTCCCCTATCTGTTCCTCACTCCCTGTCCTTGTCTCACCATGTTTGCTATGTCTGACACTAGTGGACAGTCTTTTTCCATCTTCAGTGTCATAACTCTTCTGTTGCTGGCCACCAAGCTCCCCACTCCCATTGCCTTCAGATATCACCTTCGAGTGCATGCACCCACCATCTGTATCAGTGTCAATACTCATCCTTTCTTTGCTATGCCTGTCAGTGTCACCTTGTCTCTCTCCTCTTCCTGACACTGCTCCATAGTCCTCGTTATCCCTTGAATACAAAGCTCAGCTGTCTTGTTCTTTCTGACCATTCCTTTCAAATCCTCACTTTTGCTTGAAATACTGCTGTCATTATGTTTCTTCCTCCTATCCTGTCTCTCAAGTGACGCTTCACTGCTACTATTACGTTCTTCATTCTTGTTCTGGACAACTTTTCTGCTCTTCTTCTTTTTCTTGTTCTTCAAATGCTTTTCAGATTTGAAAGTCTGACACATCACACTGCTGCTTCCTCTGTCACTATTCTCACCGGAACTGCTGCTATCACTATCGCTATCTGTCTCCTCGTCAGTATTTTCGTATTCTTCTTATTCTTCTGGATTCCTTCTTCCTGTTTCTCTCACACTTTCTCTCCTTCTCTATCTCCACTGACCTCTCACTATCTCTCCTACTGTAACTGTCCTGGCCATCTGTCCTCTGTTTCTTTCTGGCTGGACTTCTACTCCGGCCACAATCACTATCCCTTTCACTATCTCTCCTACAGCCAGCTACCCTCGAATCCATCTTCTGTTCCTTAGAAACAGGGCTACTTTGTGTAATCAGACAGCTCTCACTATCCCTCCTGCTGGAGCTTGCTTGAGAGTCTGTCTTCTGTTTATGTGTGACAGGGCTTTTATGAGTACTGCCACCACTATTATATTCCTTGTCATCTAAATGTCCATCTTGTCTCATCAGGTTGTCTCTCACCTTGGTGATGATTTGTCCAAGCAGGTTTTGACCCTGCCATGTTCGCTCGTCCCAAGCCCGGGGGTCATTCTTGTGTAAGGCAATTCCCCAAGTGGCATCGTAGGGACTGGCCTCCACCATCAGTCGAGGTGCTGTGGCAAACAGCTTTTTCTTTAGGTGGGGATTTTGGGAAAACTGGAAACATAATAGAAATATGTTACTTATGCTTGCCTGAAGAGTTCCTTTGTTTTGTCAGCACATTCTATTCCTTGAAGACTTGGTTTATTATATTTTTTTATTTCAAAGGAAATTAAAACAATCCTGGCTTCAAGAAGTGAGTGAGTATCGTTTTAGCAATATTCCAGCAATATCACAGCGGTGGACACCAGAAATGGCCTCCACACATTGTACCATGGAGGGAATCAAACTCGGGTCTTTGGCTTGTCAAGCAAACACTTAAACCACTAGGCTACCCCACCTCCCCCTGGTTTCTAGACAAATATATGTTATATTCTATTTATCTTCTCTGAAACATTATCTGCTACCATGTGCTCAGTAGACTAAACATGGGTCATTTAGCCATGATAGTCAGTTTTATTCAATTCATTCCTAAACACTGTGTTACATATCTTGTCAGTTTGTAAGTGTGTTAGTGTATATCCTACAACATCCTGTCCACATCACAGTTGCCTGTAGTAATCTAGTGTGCACTTCATTTGTGAGTGAGTGAGTGAGTGAGTGAGTATAGTTTTACGCTACTTTTAGCAATATTCCAGCTAGTGATGTTCCGATGATCGAAAATCGATCGAAAGAAGGATTAAAAGTGATTATCGATTGTAAAAAATACATTTTCTATTAATCAGAATTTTGTTGCTTTTGTATAACACCCTTGAATGAAGTAAACTAACCATCAAATCTGAAAAATATTCACGAACAAACATGCGCTCAACAGCGTAAAGCTATGCACATTGTAAAATTTTAACCACTTTTACTGTTTACAATTCCAGTGTCTTTCTTGTGTGCATTTCATTGCATGACAGCATTAGTTAGAAAAAAACTGGGGAAAAACCCTTAAAATTGGTGATTACATTAAAAATGTATATATTTCGATTACAATCGATAATCGTTCACCACAATCCTCCAATAATCGATAGTGGATTTGGTTTCCGATTCCCAACGCTAATTCCAGCAATATCATGTTGGGGACACCTGAAATAGGATTCACACACTGTACCCATGTGGGAAATCGAACCCGGGTATTCAGCATGACGAGGGAATGCTTTAACCACTTGGCTACCCCACCTCCCCTTTGCTAGTTGTCAACCTACAATATATTATGTCGATGCAGTATTGTTATACATTTATGAATACTGTGATTGAATAATTAATTGCCCTGTAAGAGGCGACTAACAGGATCAAGTGGTCCGGCTTGCTGGCTTGGTTGACACATGTCATCGGTTCCCAATTGCACAGAACGATGCTCATGCTGTTGATCACTGGCTGTCTGGTCCAGACTCGGTTATTTACAGACGGCCGCCATATAGCTGGAATATTGCTAATTGTAAACCAAAAGCCACTGTGTTCTTTAATCTGATTGGTTGAAAAACATGATCAAATGGTATTAGATTCCCGGAAATTCGCTGCGTATTAATACATACAAACATCGCTCACACCATTGTATTGTTACGTCGTCAGCTGTGATGACGTCATAAAATCATATTGTGACGTAAAGTCCAAATGACGTCACAAATGAGCAGTTCCAGATGCTACCATGGGAGACAGCCGAAATGGCCGTCTGATGACATTTCACTGCTGTACCCGTACTCGATGTCAATGAATGCAGACACAAAAACGTGTGTGGACCTTCTGGTTTACTTTTGTGTTTACAATGTCGATAAACATCATGTGTTGGCTGACGCCGTCTGTTCCAAATGAATTCCCGTGCTTCAAATACTCAATAACACCCGGAAATTGGCCAACACATGATGTTTATCTCCTAAGTGCGACGTAAAACTAAACTCACTCACTCACTCACACATTAATTGCCACTATAATTTTATATTACAAGATCATCATAGTTAAAATGAACAAAAGGCCATCTGATGTATCAGCCTAGGAACTTTTTCATGTATTCACACAAAGAATAACTAATCTTGTTACTAAGAGTAAATACATATATCAATAACTGAAGTTTCCAATCAATAACATTCCTAATGCTAAGCTGATCATGAGTTAGTCAGTGGGTATGTTTTGCAAAACTTCTCACAATATTCAATACAATATCACAGGAGAGGGCACCAGCTTCACGCATTGCACCAATATGGGGAATCAAACATGGGCCTTCAGTGTGACGATTAAACACTTGAACCACTAGGCTACCCTTCCGCCTCAAGTGTATTTTGCTGCATCTACAGACTGACCTTTGCCATGTTGCCCTTCTCCACGACCTCCTTGCTGTGCTGCATCCATGTGTCAAAGTTGAAGTTCTGGATCTGCTTGCCCAGACGCTTCTGTTCCTTGGGATCCCGGGAATTCAGTATCTTCTCCTCAATATCCTTGTCTTCAAAAAGAGCTGGAAAATGGAAAGTATGACAACTGCATGTAGATTTCATAAGGCTCTGTAGCTTACTGGACCATTTTATTTGCAGTTTTACAGATTATGTTATCTGAAACTTAAACATGTTAAATCTAAAGGTCATGTGTGCATAAAACGCTTATGAGTGAGTGAGTGAGTTTAGTATTACAGCACTTGTAGCAATATTACAGCATTGCACACCAGACATGGGCTTCACACATTGTGCCCTTGTGGGGAATTGAACCCGGGTCTTCGGCATGACGAGTGAATGCCTTAACCACTCAGCTACCCAACTGCCCCTAAAAACACTTATGATACTCAATTAGCAGTTTTATGCATAATATATCAACAAGAGTCATCAGAAGATGACATATCCCCCCAGCCCCCACATATTTGAAAGAACAAATCATCTGACAGTTAGTTTAAAAGTCCAAATCGTTTCCATGGAAATCATGAGAAATATAAATGCCAAAAATCTGTAAATAGCAAAAGGCACCATTTCAAAATTTGCCTAATATATCTGCGAAGTTCTGTTGAAAGATACTGAACGCTTTTCGAGTTGTGCACTGGAAATGAAGCCCACCCCTCCCTTTTGGGTCTAAGTCCTAATCGTTTCCCTTGAAACCAGGTAAAATATACATGCCAAAAATCTGCCAAATAGCAAAAGGCACCACTTTGGCATCTGTCTCACACATCTGCCAAGTTTTGCTGAAAGATATTAAGAAGTTTTCCAGTTGTGCAAAAGGCACCACTTAAGGTTCTGTTTGATATATCTACCAAGTTTTGTTGAAAAATATTGAATGGTTTTTTAGTTGTGCTCTGGAAACAAAGCCCACCCCCCCTTTAAGACTAAGTCAAAAACTTTTCCATGGAAACCAAGCAAAATAAAAATGACAAAAATCTGTAAATAGCAAAAGGCACCACCTTAGGTTCTGTTTGATATTTCTAACAATTGTGAATTGGAGAGTAGTGGTTAGAGCGTCCGCCTGGAGAGCGGAAGGTCGCGGGTTCGATCCCCGACCGCGTCATACCAAAAGACGTTAAAATATGGTACTTGTTGGTCCCTGCCTGGCGCTCGGCAGTAATGGGTACAACAAGGACTGGTCGGCTCGGAGTCAGTATAATGTGTCTGAGTGGGGTATTCATGCTTCACTGCGGCATGGTATCTCAGTGGGCTAGCACTATAAAACCAGCTTAAGTCTGGGTTAGTGCAAGCAGCCGCAATTGCACATACACATACACACGCATGCACGTCGTCATATGAGCGAAATATTCTCAAGCACGACGTAAAACCCAATTTCACCTCACCTTCTACTAATTTTTGTTGAAAAATATTGAACGGTTTTGGAGTTATGCTCTGGAAACAAAATGATTACGGACGGACGGATGGACAGACGAGGCGATGACTATATCCCCCCACATTACATGCCGGGTGGATAAAAAGCAATTGAAAACTCAGCCTGACCCAAGTAGGTATTTTCAGATAGCAGCTAAACAATTTTTAAATACGCGACTCAGTAAGACTCTCAGTAGTAGGACTGGGGCATGTCTCTACATCTCTACGTCATGTTTACAAGCCTTAAGTTTACTATAGATGTGGGTTTTCAAGCTTTCAGAGAAATAAAATAAATCAGCAATTAACGATATTGAGTGATACAGAACAGAAATTATAGTTTTAATACATAACACACATTCTACAATTTTTATCAATTTCATTACTCTTTCATCCATTCTCAAAGTGTAGGATGCAATAATTTGTGCCAGGTAAAATCCAGGCAGAAAATTACAGAAATTTTGCCTCTGCTGATACACTAAATATTTCATCTTAACAAAAACACTTGCTTCACAGATATAACAAAATATGGATTGCAGATTCATTGTGCATTTTATCAGTTTGAAATGGTGAAATTTGAAAAAGCGTTTAAACAAAATTTATGTCATCATATTCTGTGTTTACACAGCAATAAAATTGAAATGGCCTTTCATTATTTTAATTCTGTGTATAACAAACTTGTTTTCTGAATGTTAGAAGAAATTAAATTAAATGAGAACGGCAGATTCATAGTGCAGAGCAATTTTTTTTCAGTTGGAAATGGTGAACAATTTACCAGAATTCAATTACATGTACTTCATTTAGGTAAGGCTTTTACCAAAAACAATATTATCAGAAGCGGTCGTAAAATGCAAGCACCGGTCGCAAATGTTTGTCAACATCAACCTGTCAACTCACCTGCCTTCCTGTACATGTAATACTGCTCTGCACAGTTGAATTCTTTGCCGTCAACTGTGAACTTGACCGGGTGATGTTGACTGAAAGGCGACTGCCAGCCAAAGAACAGTTCATATTTCTGTGACGGTCTTCCAGGGAACCTATCACCGCGGTGAAAGTTGTGCCTGTAGGGTGATCCTGCTTGAAAGTAACTTTCACTTCTGCGTCGTTTGGATGGATCAACCTCGACATATTCACCGTCCCACTTCCGTTTACGACTTGACATTAGTTTTGATTGCTGTTCTAATTTCGGGCAGTTATTTTTCAGTTCGCTTGTTACACCGTAAGAGTCTACATCATGAGTATCACTGACAATGCACGTGCAGAATCTAGAACCCAGAATCCACAGAGCCTAGCGCCATGTCCTGTTGGGGATGGGAGGTAACTCGGTAGGGATGTTTCCGCGAATTTGTGACGATTGCGAATAATTTTTCCGAGAATAGACCGGGAAGAATAGTTTCGATTAGGGAGATATAGACAAGGTTGTGTTAACATTAACCCGACAAAACCCAATTTACTTATCTGAAATAGATATTGAGACCCTAAACCTGATCTGACATGAATCCAAAGGCAATGCAACCAATCGGTCACACAGACCCTGAAACAAATATACCCAATACAGCCCTTGCAAGTCTAGAATATGCGATATGTTTAGATTACCATTTATCATCCAAAACTGTGTTCCACTGGAGATATTGCTAGTGTCCAAGGATGGATCAATGGAATCTCCTTGAGATATCGATTTGACAAGGCCCTGTACAATGCCCTGACGTCATCAATTACATGAGATCACAATGCTTTGACAACATCAATTACATGACTCACAAAGCTATGACGTGAAAAACATGATGACATCATAATGCTATGACGTCACAAACATGATGACGTCACAATGCTATGAAACCGCTTCACTGCAATTCTAATGGCAATACCATGTTCAAAGATGTACATTTTGCATTGAAAACTAATGACGATGGGTTTTGATGATAAATAGAATCTCACACTCGCTGATATAAGTAAAAATATCCTCGTCACGCCTAGCGATCGGATATTTGTCACTTTATCAACTCGCGTTGACATAACTGATATCGGCAGACACTTGGGTGAGATTTCTTTTATCATCCAAAACTGTGCGTCACGATGTTGATTACATCACAATGCTATGATGACATAAGCTGATGACGTCATAATGCTATGGCCTCACTGAGATCACTGCTCCAGAAGGCTAAATGGCAGTTTTGTGTTCAGATAAATTCATTCTTTTACTGAAAACTGTTGAAGAATGAGTTTGGATGATAATTTAAAAATCTCACCCTCGTGTCTTCTGATATCAAATATATCAACACTCGTTGATTAAATTAAAAATATTTGTAACTTTAATCAACTCGTGTTAATATATTTGATATCAGAAGACACTTGGGTGAGATTTTCTATATGCACAGTTTCATGAAGAAATGTCTTTGTGCACCTTTTTATTATATTTCATGAAAATAATTACGACTGTATTTTTCCGGTAAAATGTATTCATTTAGGAGACTAAATGTTAGTCTACAATGCAACGTGCAGTGCTAAGTACGGCTTACCCATATCATCAGAAACGAGGATCGTTTGAAGATTTGTCACGTAACCAACTTCTCAGTATTCTACTTCCGCTTTCTTAGTTAGGAACAATGTGTGAAGCAGAATTCTGATGCCCCAGTGATAGTGTTGGAATTTTGCTAAAAGTGCCAACAAAAAAAGCAAATATTCTCAATTACACACTTACATTCAGGAAATGTCTAACGAGACTCCTTCAATAGGATACATTGAGTGAGTGAGTTTAGTTTTACGCCGCACTCTGCAATATTCCAGCTATATGGCGGTAGTCTGTAAATAGTCGAGTCTGGACCAGACAATCCAGTGATCAACAGCATGAGCATCGATCGGCGCAACTGGGAACCGATGACATGTGTCAACCAAGTCAGCGAGCCTTACCACCCGATCCCGTTAGTCGCCTCTTACGACAAGCATGGGTTGTCTAACCCGGACCTTCACGGGTCAGTAGGATACAACTCGTCTTGATAATGTGATAATATGTAACAACCGAATCCATCAAGACAGCTAGAGTTCAACATAAATTACCCAACTATAACTGACATATCGCTGTAGGTACTAACAACGTTATCAAGCAAGTGATACAAAGAGTTGATATCAGCCTACTCTGCTCAAATCACTAATTAGAAGTGCAATGTATATCAACTTTGTCAGTTGCATATACTCTCTATGCAGCTATATGTATATATTCTCCTTGTTTCAACTCTTTTTATCACTTGCTCGATAACGGTGGCACTCATTGCAATAAAGAAGTTGACTATTCATAGAACTTGGTTTTCCTTCACCTATACAACTTCTAAAATGCCTCACAAAGATTTTTAAAGAGAAAGTTGGTGTTGAAGAACGCTATGTCACATTTATTAAAACAACAGCGACAAAACAACAATTAAAACACTATGTAAACTTCATTTTCACATTTATGGAATATGGACAAATGTGTTTTGTACTTTGATAGATATCAGAAAATGGACATGCAACTAATAATAAGAGAGGAGGCTTAATGCCCTGCGACCATCTTCATTTTAGTAAATATATCACATGGGTCAGCGAATTTGTTATTTGTTTATTGTTTAACGCCACACCCAGCTGTTTTCCAGCTATATGACGGCGGTCTGTAAACAATTTAGTATGGACCATACAATCCAGTGATTGACATCATGATCATCGATCTGTTTTATTCCAAAACGTGCCTTACCTCATTCCAGTTAAACAGAGCTTAAAAAAAATATATTATTACTCTCAGGTAAGTCATTGTTATATTCTTTATTGTAAACTTCACTTGTATGTTGGACATACTTCTTAAAGGATGTTTTAAAATCAGAGAGGTAAAATACCATAGCAGCAGCAACAACAAACGAACTCTACCGTAGCGCTAAAAAGATTAGAAGAAGAGGAGGGGAGGGTAGAATAAGAGTTATCGTTCTTGTTGGAAGTCGTTCTCGTGTTCAAACGCCACTATGGAATCCTTCGAGAGGGGCACTAGTCTCGGTTTGGCTTGTGTCGGAAGGACACGAGTTGGTCACGAATGATACACGGTATCTTTGTCGACTCGGACAACCATCCCTATATATTTGTCTTCTTCATTAAGATATACTCGTCTGTCGGGCCTCTCTGTGTCATACCCACCCCTCTCACTATCCCCTCTGCTGTAATGTCCTCGATTATGTGTCTCTTGTTTTTCTGTGTCCATGTTTCTTGGTCGGTCCTGTCTGGGAAAAGGCTTGTTTTGGTTTTTTCGTTTCTTTTTCTTCTTTTTCTTCTTTTTCTTTTGCCTGCCTGTTCCCTCTTGTCCGCTGTTGTCACTGTCCCTTGTCTGTGACAACTGCCCAGGGTCATCTGGACACCCACTGCTGCTCGCCAATTGTCCGGAACCCCTTCCCTGACGTAAGTTCTGCCAGCTCACTCTTCTTCTGTCCATGTTGTCATTACTGGTACATTGGAACCCATCTGAACTATCCCCTGTAGAGCTGTAATCTGTCTTTTCCATACTTCCCCCTTCTTCGCCAACCAGAACTCCGTCTTGTCTCATCAGGTTGTCTCTCACCTTGGTGATGATTTGTCCAAGCAGGTTTTGACCCTGCCATGTCCGCTCGTCCCAAGCCCGGGGGTCATTCTTGTGTAAGGCAATTCCCCAAGTGGCATCGTAGGGACTGGCCTCCACCATCAGTCGAGGTGCTGTGGCAAACAGCTTTTCCTTCAGGTGGGGATTTTGGGAAAACTGGAAACATGATAGAAATATCTTACATGAACTGAAAAGTAAGAATATCATATATATTGTTTGCTGTTTAGGGCCGCATTCGTCAGTTTCCCCGCTTTTACGACGGCGGTCAGTAAATATTCGAGTCTGAATTTAAACGAACGTCAACATTTGAAACTGCCCTACATTGCCACACAGTTAAAAGATATTGGTATGGAACACTACATCTCAAGAGTAGTCAGTTGGGCCGTGCCCATGCCCTCGAAATCCGAGTACAGGAACCAAGAACGGAAATTCAGTTACAGTGTTACAGTGACCGTGTTTGTTTGTTGTTTTACGCCGCACAGCAGTTCAGCAATTTACCAGCTATATGACGGCGGTTAGCAGATAATCGAGTCTGGACCAGACAATCCAGTGACTGATATCATGGGTATCGATCTGCGCAACTGGGATACGATGGCCTGCAGCAACCAGATCAGCGAGCCTGACCATCCGATCCTGTTACTCGCCTCTTATAGGCATGGGTTCCTGAAGTCCTGAAGTCCAGTAGTTTAGATTTCCACAGGTCTATCACAGGTATCAGATTCCATATTGCAACAATTCTGGTTTGTAGGTGGACATGTAATTTTGTGATGATCTCCCAAATATTACCTGAATATGTAAGACATTGTCATCTACCGATGCTCTAGTGAGACAATTTAGAATCCAAACCTGGTGTAGTTTTTCCAAATATTGCTTGAATCAATCCATCAGATATTTATTCCTATGCTTTTGTCCTTCACGGTGGGAACAGAAGGTTGTTTTTTGTTGTAACCTTTCAATAATTCAGGAAGTTTTACGTCCTTGGGTCTTTTGATATTTTAAAACCAATGACTAGATTTTTTTTGGAAAATAGAAATGCTGTGTCAGGTGACATTTTCACTGCATCTGTTCACGTGCAGTCAGCATTTCAGTCCTTAATGGATGGTAAGTGCATCATGAGTTAGTGAGTGAGTATGGTTTTACGTTGATTTTAGCAGTGTTCCGGCAATATCATGGCGGAGGACACCAGACATGGGCTTCACAAATTGTACCCATGTTGGGAATCGAACACGGGTCTTCAGCGTGACGAGCGGACACTTTAACCATGTGGCTACCCCACCGGCCCATGAGTTAGTGAGTGGGTATGGTTTTACAAGGCTGTTAGCAACATTCATTTCAATATCATTGAACCATGCACTTGGCTACCCTTCCACCTCAAGTGTATTTTGCCGCATCTACAGACTGACCTTTGCCATGTTGCCCTTCTCCACGACCTCCTTGCTGTGCTGCATCCACGTGTCAAAGTCGAAGTTCTGGATCTGCTTGCCCAGACGCTTCTGTTCCTTGGGATCCCAGGAATTCATTATCTTCTCCTGAATATTCTTGTCTTTAAAAAGAGCTGGAAAATGCAAATAAAAATGTCTTGAGTGAGTTAGGGATTTCACTGCTGGGGGCAGATTACAGACAATTTGGTTTGTTGAGGCAGAAAACGTTTCACGTGAATAAAAGAGGACGTTTTACAGATACGCACATCTAGTACATATCTGCCCATGTTGAAAATCTTCATGTGGTTTGAACCTTACAACAGACCACATAAATTAACATTATAACATGCAGTTAATTTATATTTCCCATAAAAGGAAAATACTTTTAAGTGCCTGTATACAGTTTACGATTGGAAAATTCTACTTGAAACTGCATTTTAGTGTCGCAAATGTTTGTCAACATCAACCTGTCAACCCACCTGCCTTCCTGTACATGTAATACTGCTCTGCACAGTTGAATTCTTTGCCGTCAACTGTGAACTTGACTGGGTGGTGTTGACTGAAAGGTGACTGCCAGCCAAAGAACAGTTCATATTTCTGCGACGGTCTTCCAGGGAATCTATCACCGCGGTGAAAGTTGTGTCTGTTGGGTGATCCTGCTTGAAAGTAACTTTCACTTCTGCGTCGTTTGGATGGATCAACCTCGACATATTTACCGTCCCACTTCCGTTTGCGACTTGACATTACTTTTGATCGCTGTCAGTTCTCGCGAGAATAGACAAGGAGGAATACTCCACATGTAAATTCCTTTCAGAATTAGATTATCAGAGCCTGTATGTGAAATATCACATGAATGCTAGATGTTAGCGTTTACCTAATCGGTAGGAATAATGGTTACTAAACAATGCAGGGCTCGCTGACAACGACCCTTCCTAGTATTCTACTTTCGCTTTTGCTTTATCAGTTTCCAAGAAGTCTATAGCGTCTCCTTTGTTGCGCAACAATATACTCGGCCTATACATACTTGGGCGTACGTACCGTATATCCTCTAATATGATCATGTTCTCTGATAGCTTCTGTAATTAAAACGCCTTACCAAATAATATATGATCGAGTTCGAATTAGATCCATATTTTCAACAATGGGCATGTAGGTGGCATTTGCAATATGAATAAAAATGTATGTTTTCTCTCTTTGTTTTTTTATTTCAAGCTTCAGACTTACACTTAGTCCATTAAAGGGGCGGTGGGGTAGCCTAATGGTTAAAGCGTTCGCTCGTCACGCCGAATATCCGGGTTCGATTGCACATATGGGTACAAAGTGTGAAACCCATTCCTGGTGTTCCCCGTCGTGATATTGCTGGAATGTTGCTAAAAGCGGCGCAAAACTAATTCACCCCCTCACACTTTGTTTCGTATGATTTAGACTTTGGATATAAAAATGAGTATTGCTTCCACCTTGCTTGCTATTCGAGTGGTTTGAGAAATGCAAGTTCAGCTGGACATAATGAGAAAGTTATCGAAAATATACTCATGCCAATAATGGTTGTCACCCCCTTCAATTTTTTTAATTGGAGAGAGGGTGTGTGTGGGTGGGGGTGTGGTTGGGGGGAAAGAGGAGTGACAACCATTATTGGCATGAGTATATATAAAGATTTTTTTCTTTGAAATAATTCTTCTTTGCTGGTACTCCAAGAAACTATTTAGAGCGAGTGTGGTCAATCAGCATTATACTTAGCTTTATCACTGTGAAAAACCAGTGGTTGATAGTGAGAGCAATGCTACACAGCAGACACGTGATGGCATGAGGATAATACACAAACAGCTGAGGGGTTGTCTTCAAGTACAAGTATACAAGTACTTCAATAAATCCGTCATAAGGGACAGTCATTGTGGCCATCCAATCTACATTTGTTCAATTTGGATATGGATAAGATACAGATAGTAATCTCTGTCGAATACTGTATGATGGCATTACACTTAAAGCAGAGTTTCATTTTCCCGTTGACCCACAGGTTTTGCTCCAACTGGAGAGTTGCGTCTCTTAGCCGTTAGCGGATCCGCTGATTTTGATCCTTGGTTTGTACAGCTTACTTCACTCACTTAATAATGACACATTATAAAATGTTAGCAACAGTTTTTTCACGCGACCCATAGAGAGCTCTATGTGCTTTTGCATTCGCCATTCTAAGTCCATGTATTCCTTCAATACATGTGAATAGTCCGCTCTGTTGTATACTAAACATTGGACGAATTACGCATGTTTATTGACATTTATTCACGACAATACCGTAGTATACAATAACGTAGGGTTTTGGCATGAAGCCATGATTGCTCAATCGGATTAGTCGAGGACCAAAGCCGATTGCAGGTTACGGAAAGGGGCGAGTGATGACGAATGGCGCTCGGACTGATTCGCTTGGTTGAAGTGTTTGTACAGAGACATGTACGAATTTTTCATGACATGCATACAACATACATGTCATTCACATAGTTATACAACACGCCGTCAACATATAAGAATGGTATCACATTCCTGTTATCACAACACCGGTTGTCACTGTACACGGGTCCACAGCAGGCGTAAAGGGGCGTAACGAGTTCAATACGCCTACAGACTGTAGTTCGTTTCAGCACGAATTCAACATTCAGGCCTCTTTACTGAATAAAAATTGTCTGCCGGTCCGAATTCAACAATGTTCACTGTGTATATCCATATGAAACTATACACGAATGTCAATCCAATATATTTCACTACAAAATGAGACGTAGGTCACTAAAATCGAAGCGGTACTTTGGGAGGTAAGGTCTTCGGAAGCTACAATAAATCCATCCTCGATAGTCTCCAGGGTATACGTTACGATCACTCTCCACTATGGAGAGTGATCGTAACGTATACCCTGGATACTATGGAGAGTGATCGTAACGTATACCCTGGAGATTATCGATGATGCAATAAATCGTGATTTTTAGATTTCGAGCTAAAATCCCTGCTCAGAATTTGTACCGCTAACTTACAGAATGTCTTGTTTATTGCATCGTGTAGACGATCGAAACGCACCAAACAATACGATGATGAATCGATGGCACCTGAAACTTGGTGTGTTTACCTCATTACACCCTTTCCTTTTATAGAGGTGACTAGCGGGATCAGGTCGTCAGTCTCGCTGACATGGTTGACTCATGTCATCGTATCCCAACTGCGTACAGATCGATGTTCATGCTGTTGATCACTTGATGGTCTGGTTAAGACACGATTATTTACAGACCGTCGCCATATAGCTGGAATATTGCTGAGTGCGGCGTTAAACAACAAAACACCCACCCCCTTTTACATAGTGCTAAGACTCTGTCAGTGACATTATATACATTGATGCCAGTCTTTTGCGTTAGACTGCATGGGTGCACTAGTGAATCGTTATATTCCACACACATCCGAAACATTTCCCCCCAAATACGACCTGTACAATCCGTTTCACCAAAGTGTAAAACGTCTGCATTTCTCCTAAATCATTATAACATCTTGATATAACCGAAATACGTTTCAAAGCATCACCTTACTCACTCACTCACACACTACAACACATTGAATGATATCAGAATACGACAGACAGACAGACAGATGTTTATTCAGTATTTCAGGCCATATGACCTATAGTACAGTTGTGTTATATTTTTACATTGCACAGTCACGTGGAAATATAAATATACATACATATATTACCGTCTAATTTCAAAAATCTTTTTAAGGAATATTGAAACAGATAATATGTTATTGATATTTCTTGAGTTTAACAGGTTTTTTCATTTGTTGTTCATCGTTGTACACAGTTGAGATCATAGGGAGGTATCTGCTTCTAAGAAACTGGTAATGCTCACAAATGAAAAGAACATGAAACTCATCCTCGACATAGCCTTCATTACAAAAATGACATAAACTATTATTTTTATCATGTACATTTTTCTTTCTAAGATTTTTAACATTAAAATTGTGGAGTGATATTCGTAATTTACAGAATGCTCTTCTTAAAGTTCTGTCCTGTAGTTCGGATACATATTTTTCAGGAATAAGTAACGATTTTATATTTGCATAATGACACAGAAATCTTGAGGATGCTATTTGAGAGTGCCAGTTTTGTGAAAATATGCCATTTAATCTCTGCTTAAGGATAAAGGTAAATGAGATGGAACAAAGAGACCGGTGCGACCAGTTTCTCCTAAAACAGCTTTGTTAGAGGCATATTTACCAACACCTAAGAAATGTTTAAAATATTAAGCGTGGACTTTTCAATGGAATCCTTATATTTAACTCCCCATATTTCGGAGCCATAGAGAAATACGTAAGATGATCATGACATCCAGCGATCTCCAAATTAATGCACATATGATATTGGTTGTCATGGTTATGGGTCGATGTGGTTCGTATTATTATTATCGAGGAAATGGAAACACACACAACGAGATAAATGAACTATGCACATGGAACTTAATTAAGTACCCCCTAACATATTTTAAGTTACTGACTTACCTAATGATACTTCTTGAATTGTAACGATGAACTGTATTCCCTTTCAATGCTGTGTAAGGGTTTTGCTAAATCAATCGTCAAAACACATCTCAGTATGCAGTTGAAGCATACTACCCACGATTGTCTAAAAAAGCACTATTAACTCAATGCAGCTAATTGCGTAAAACGCCAAAACTTTTAAATGATTTTACCAGTATCTGTTACAAAGGCACGAAGGAGACAACCAGAAGCAAGAACATGGCAAATTATTGGAATGCACGACGCCGGGATGTCATGCAGTGCTATTGGGCGACAGTTTGACATTCACAACATCGTCAAAAGACGTTTTCGTGTCGTTTGTAAACTAAAATATTGCAAATTTTCATGATTTTGTTGTTATTGTTTTGTCCAAAATGTCAACTTTCTGGAAACAATGGCGTGTAAGCTCTCCGGTATACATACTAATGGTAATGGCTGCTCAGGCAATATGAAAAAATCAGGGGGTGCTTAATTAAGTTCCATGTGTATATGTCATTCATCTTACGACAGGTATTTTCATAACGCAAATAGATCAACCTCCCTACAAAATTGCACCCTGCCGCTTTTGCGAAAATGCTTGACCGTCTTACGATTTGTTGTCCAACTGAATGTAATAACTTGTTTGGTGCTTTATGGTCGTTGTGTAACCTATACAGCTGTTGCTTATTGCTGTATGTTTCCCTGCTATCCACAAACAGTTCCATTCATAGTTTTATATTGAGTGAAAACCTGTCGAACCTTATTCTGGATTTTTCAGTAAGCGACAGTACAATTATGATGTAAAACACATTAAATGTCTAATGTACCATTTAATGGCAAAAACAAAGAATGAAATATGTACATAACAAGGAAACACAACCTCATGTAAAATGGCAAACCAACGTAAATGGTGCGGACATCTCTTTCTTCTTTGCAAACTATTATCAGCATTCATAAATTATCACACACACAAACAAACTTTTCCCATGAAATCTCAGTCCTTCCCTTTCTTTCCATCAACATTCTTCTCTTCGATCTCTGCTCCTTCATCATCAATCTCCGCTGTTCCTTTGTCCTCCCCATCCTTTCCTTCTCCGTCTTCCTCACCCTGCCTCTTCTCCAGTCTGTCCCTGACAGCAGTCAAGGCGTACCCCAGGAGGTTCTTCCCCCGCCATGTCTTGGTGTCCCAAGCTTTGGGGTTGCTCCTGCCAAGGCCAATACCCCACAAACGATCCCTGGGGCTACACTCAACCATCAGTTTGGGGCGTGTGGCCAGAAGCTGCTTCTTCAGGTCCTGGTTCTGTGAGAACTGGAGGAAACAAAACCTGGCCTTTAAATACCTTACGGCATTAATACTTGTTTCACACAGCAATCTCATCTTTACAGTGGGTGAGTGAATATGGTTTTACGCTGCTTTTAGCAATATTCCAAAGGGGTACACCAGAATAGGCTTCACACATTGTATCCATGCGGGGAATCGAACCCGGGCCTTCTACGTGACGAGCAAACGCTTTAAACCTGCCCCTATTTATATAATTGCAACTGCACGACGCCCGTATCCAGTAATAATAAGATCGGGCAAGTTATATTTTCTACACGTGCTCCATGTATAGTCAAGGTAAAATAGTCTCAAAGCAATCTGGGAATGCCTTTTATGGATACTTGATCAAATATGTGCTCCAATGTCATACGGACATACTGTTCCTACCTGGAAGATTATCAAATCACAGAATTCTAGCATTATGGTTAGTGAAATTATACTTGCCCTACATCCATTCGTCATACATTCAGTTTATATTTGTCAATATGGGACCTTTGTCCCTATTGTGGCCTCACCTTGGCCGCGTTGGCACGTTCAACAATCTGTACACAATTTCGTCCCCATACTGCCTTATCGAATTTCCGCACTTTCCGACCAAGGCGCTTCTGTTCCACGGGATTTGGGGTCGACATGATTTTCTTCTTATACACTTCGTCCTTAAACAACACTGAAAGTAGAAACATTATGGTACTTAAACAGACAGATAGGTTTTGCTGATGAATATTTTCCAAAACAGATGCCAAATCAAAGGAAATGGTTATCGTTCGGCAGGCAACAACATGTCTGCTTCATCGCAGCGGGCCTAAGATAACTACATCCGGGGCAAGCGAACAAGTGAGTGACATGATGAACAACGCCCAAAGCCTTATGGGTAACCACGTCATAGCCTTACCACTCGATTCAGCTTGGAGCTGCATATCTATTCTAACCAAAGTGCACGATGGGATACTTGTTCCTCATAATTGTATATGACCTATATAGCTTCCCCGCCGTGATATTGCTGGAATTGTATATGACCTATATAGCTTCTCTTCTAATCAACGAGGGTAGCCTAGTGGTTTAAGCGTTCGCTCGTCACGTCGAAGGCCCGGGTTCGATTCCCCACATGGGTATAATGTGTGAAGTCCATTTAATGATTTATTGTGTCCCCCGCCATGATATTGCTGGAATATTGCTAAAAGCGGCGTAAAACCCAACTCACTCTAATCAACGCGTTATACATGCATATATATTATTATTATTATTATCGTTGTTGGGCAAACTCGTCACCAAAGCTGCGTTAAGGGGATTTAGTATTGATCTGTCGTAGTCCTACTAACGAAGCTGTTCATTACATAATGCAATCTATGCCAACATACCAGCATTTCTCTTATTTGTTGCTCAATTTATTTCCGGCAAGCCGTTGAACCGGCGTCATGCAAAGACACATCATCAGATAATTATTATCATCATTACATGTTGTTATCATTCCACAAATTATGGACGTCACCCGGCCTCTATAAAAGATCCGGGTTCTGTTTTGGGGTACAGAGCGTACGACCTGGGATTTATCACTGGCCTGAGTGGGAGATACGGCGCCTAATACTATTAATAGAGTTAATACGGTAAATCGACTCACCCGCCTTCTGGTACATCATGTACTGTTCAGCACAGTTGAATTTGACACCCTCTATCGTGAATGTGGCTAGGAAGTGTTGACTGAAGGGTGACTTATTGCCGTAGAAAAACTCAAAATTGTCTTTCCCAGTGATGTGTTTGTGCAGTTGTGAAAGACCGCTCTTGATTGTATTGGTTTTGTTGCCGCTTTCACGTTGTTTCTTCTCGGGGACTGGTGGTACATCGACGGTTTTCCGCTTGAGACTCGTCTTGGCTTCAGATATTTTGACTGATTTGGTGTCTGCCATGTTGATAACAGCCAGGAGCTATCGACTGCTTACCTTCGATCTGTCCGCACAGCGGCAAGTTTCTATTTCGGCAAACTTACGACACTTCCGCGTTCCAAAGGGAGGCAACTCTGATCGGAATAACTGATGTGTCCAGCCATGTTAGATCTCCATGCATGTGTATTAAAGTGGATATGAATGAAGATCGTAGTTAGAAGTGGGGTGGGGGTCTGATATAAGGTCTCCAATTTATACAGAAATGAATATAAACAGTTTTAAAATATCTCACAAAACTTCAACAAAGTGTTTTTAGTGAAGGAGGAGAAGACGCACGAGCCCCAACACACATACATACAATACACGCACATACTCCATCACATGCCTAGATGTGGGCAAGATTAGAAAATCGTATACCTAAACTGTACTTAATAATATACCTATACTTAAAGCTAACATGGAAATGTTATATTCAAGGAATGAACATGCTGATATATTAAGCTTATATATTGAAAGGAACATGGGCTATTTTTCCTCCAGACGGCTATACGCACCTCTAAGTTTTACTGTCTGTCGTCAACTTTATGAAGAAATCAAATATCGTGATGGATATCTGGTCCAATGGTTTAATCCTATTTCCAGTAAACCCTCGATATAATATGTATAAAGCCTTGAGAGTAATGAAGTTCTGTTGTTAAATTTGATTTGATCTATTTGACCATCATTCATTTCTGCAACAGTTCGTAAAACATATTTTACGGATCAAAATATTGTGTAAATATTGTGTTTGTTCATAGTAAGAAATGAATTACCATGTTTGAAAGGTAGAATCTGTGGCATAAAATGCAATATTTTTCAAAGCTAACATGGCAAACACACCCAGTATTTGTGTGCAGAGAGCAGATGTGGATGGGTGATCCTGTGCATGGAGCTCAGGGCACAAGTCAGTTGAAGTTCAGCAACTTTGGGCGCGGAGAGTCTTCAGAATGGTGACCCGTCACCGTGTTCGGCAGCTTGACTCCTGAGCGTTTCTACTCCTGCCCCACAAGGAAGCACATGTGATACATGTGGTCTCACCTTCGGCATGTAAGTTTGTTAAAAATTGCCCCTGTTCACCCAGCACTAAAAGGGTACCCGGTGGGACAATTCATGTGACTATTAACCTCACAGGCAGCTTGGGTCATTCGGGGTAATAATAGTCAGCGCCGCTGAGCACAGTATTTTATCACTATGAGTATTCACTTTGTGAATGGAGTTTAGCGCATTATAATTGCATTTATTATTATCATTGTTATTTATGCTAAAGATTGAAATCTTTCATATTTTACAAAATATAACAGTGTGGAAGTAATTTTGAGTGTGACTAGTGAGTGCGCTAGGACAATTCATATTTTTCATAAAATACCGCTAGATTTAGGTAATTTCATCTGCACTTGAGAAAAGTCTATTTGAAATGACTTGATGTTACGTTACACAGAAAATCAGCAACAATGTGAAAGAAGTATACGTTTTATTTGCATTAAACATTTATTATGACACGTGACGACCAATCCCATGTGTGTCTGGCCCCTAATGATTTGTTTAACTTGCTACATTGATGAAATTCGGGATCGTTGCTACCAATTTTTAACTTCACAATCATCCTGAAAATTCTTTTAAAACTTCATTTGATCGTAGACCAACATAATCTTTTCGCATTGGCATCAGCCTCTGCCCCAGTACCATGGGAAGACATTGGGATTCTTGACATAATTACTAAATGTCATGTTGGTTTTATCCATCATTTGATACAGGTCAAGCAGTGAAATCACTGACCACATGAACAACAGGTGAGACCAGAAACCAATGTCCAGAAGAAGTTATTTTTTACAATATTTGACATTCATCATTTATATAATTTGCAGCATGAAATTACCACAAACTGAATACTGAGCCTCAGTGCTCTGAAGATCAACTGAAATATACTTCCCCTCAAACGTTTAGACTCACTGAAAACACTCACTATATGTATAAATATATGGTTACATCGAAGATGCAGATGAATTGCACGAGGATCATGCATTACACTGCTGAAAAGCATGTGCAAATATCGTGCATGTGAACAGCTGCGTTTTGGTGTAAAGATTTGTTAAGAATTCGCCAATTTTCACTGATTTTTATCATTTATTGAACTCATGACAATGATCTTTTCAACGTTACAAACTTGTTTTACAATACATCAGTTCATGTGTAAACAGTACCTTTAAACAGTATAGAATGTTTTTGCAAAATTCAGTTTAGGACTGTTGCCTGACGTTAGTAAGTGGCTATATTTACACTAGTGAGTCTAAACTTTTGATGGTAAGTAAATAATGAAATAATTCTTATCATGAATATAATGAGATTGAAATTCTGTGAGCAGTGTTCAAAGACACCATAGCTGGGAACTGTAATACCAGGTTTCAGTTTTCAGTTTAGTTGGTACCAGATTGGTACCCGGCCGTTGGAGAGATACCAGTTAACAATGGACAGTGTTCATGTGTCACCTCTCTTCCACTCATCTCACTGTCTTAGGGTTCACTGAAAACAGTACCCACGACGAACATTATTCGAAGCTTCACGTACATAAGGTATCGTAAGTAGTGGTCGGAATTCCACGTAAACAAAGAATGTTAATTTATATTTTCGAATCCAATCAAATTTGATTATAAAACCTGAAGGGTAAAAAAAATGTTTCAATACTTCGACCACGGAACCATTATTTTAGTAAAGAATATCTGTTCGTGAACTCCAGTGTGTATCATTCCCTATTACATCTGGTTCACTCCCTCCACCATTCTATTACATCTGGTTCACTCCCTCCCCTATTCCATTACATCTGGTTCACCCCCTCCCATATTCCCCTATTCCATTACATCTGGTTCATTCCATCCCCTATTCTATTACATCTGGTTCACTCCCCCCCCTATTCTATTACATCTGGTTCATTCCCTCCCCTATTCTATTACATCTGGTTCATTCCCTCCCCTATTCCATTACATCTGGTTCACTCCCTCCCTCATTCCATTACATCTGGTTCACTTCCTCCCTATTCTATTACATCTGGTTCATTCCCTCCCCTATTCTATTACATCTGGTTCATTCCCTCCCTATTCCATTACATCTGGTTCACTCCCTCCCTCATTCCATTACATCTGGTTCACTCCCTCCCTCATTCTATTACATCTGGTTCACTCCCTTCCCTATTCTATTACATCTGGTTCACTCCCTCCCCTATCCCATTACATCTGGTTCACTCCCTACCCTATTACATCTGCTTCAGTCCCTACCCTATTCCATTACATCTGGTTCAGTCCCTACCCTATTCCATTACATCTGGTTCATTCCCTCTCCTATTCTATTACATCTGGTTCACTCCCTCCCCTATCCCATTACATCTGGTTCACTCCCTACCCTATTACATCTGCTTCAGTCCCTACCCTATTCCATTACATCTGGTTCACTCCCTCCCCTATTCCATTACATCTGGTTCATTCCCTCTCCTATTCTATTACATCTGGTTCACTCCCTCCCCTATCCCATTACATCTGGTTCACTCCCTACCCTATTACATCTGCTTCAGTCCCTACCCTATTCCATTACATCTGGTTCACTCCCTCCCCAATTCCATTACATCTGGTTCATTCCCTCCCCTATTCCATTACATCTGGTTCACTCCCTCCCTCATTCCATTACATCTGGTTCACTCCCTCCCTCATTCTATTACATCTGGTTCACTCCCTCCCCAATTCTATTACATCTGGTTCACTCCCTCCCCTATCCCATTACATCTGGTTCACTCCCTACCCTATTACATCTGCTTCAGTCCCTACCCTATTCCATTACATCTGGTTCACTCCCTCCCTCATTCTATTACATCTGGTTCACTCCCTCCCCAATTCTATTACATCTGGTTCACTCCCTCCCCTATCCCATTACATCTGGTTCACTCCCTACCCTATTACATCTGCTTCAGTCCCTACCCTATTCCATTACATCTGGTTCACTCCCTCCCCTATTCCATTACATCTGGTTCATTCCCTCTCCTATTCTATTACATCTGGTTCACTCCCTCCCTATTCTATTACATCTGGTTCATTCCCTCCCCTATTCCATTACATCTGGTTCACTCCCTCCCCTATTCAATTACATCTGGTTCACTCCCTCCCTCATTCCATTACATCTGGTTCACTCCCTCCCTCATTCTATTACATCTGGTTCACTCCCTCCCCAATTCTATTACATCTGGTTCATTCCCTCCCCTATTCCATTACATCTGGTTCACTCCCTCCCTCATTCCATTACATCTGGTTCACTCCCTCCCTCATTCTATTACATCTGGTTCACTCCCTCCCCAATTCTATTACATCTGGTTCACTCCCTCCCCTATCCCATTACATCTGGTTCACTCCCTACCCTATTACATCTGCTTCAGTCCCTACCCTATTCCATTACATCTGGTTCAGTCCCTACCCTATTCCATTACATCTGGTTCACTCTCTCCCTATTCCATTACTTTCGTATATCCCCCCTCCCCCTATTCCATTACATCCGGTTATTAAACCTCCACCGCCCCTCCCCTATTCCACTAAATCAGGTTCCTTTCCTCCCACTATTCTATTACATCCGGTTCCTTTCTATTCTATTTCATCTGGTTCCTTTCCTCCTCCATCAGCGTGTCCCTCACATATGTCAATATGTATCCAAGCTGGTTCTTCCCTCTCCAGTTCTTCATGTCCCAGGCCAGAGGGTCCTCCCTGTCAAGCCCAATACCCCATACAAGGTCTGAGGGGCTCGCTTCAACCATCAGTTTAGGATGTGTTTTAAACAGCTTCTTTTTCAAATCCGGATTCTGGGAAAACTGAAAAATAAAATAAATGTGGATATATATTCTCAAGCTCATTTAATATATCAATTCGCCTGCATCCTCTTTCCTCTTTAGGCTCGTGGTTAAAGCGTTCGCTCGTCACGTCGCAGACCCGGGTTCAATTCTCCACTTAGGTACAATGTGTGAAGCCCATTTCTGTCCCCGGTCGTGATACTGCTGGAATATTGATAAAAGCGGCGGAAAACCATACAACTGTTTTTGTCATTGTTGGATCAGCATTCTAGAAGTTGCGGAATCAATAATGAAGCATACAACTTTATAAATAACAATAATTTCCTGTTTATTGCAAGATTCTTCTGTAAAGCTTTTCATGTTGCCACTCTTAGTTTAATAACGGTGTAAGAATCTACCCCCGAAACGTCGGTCTGTGCAATAAACAAACGTTTATGTTATCCATAAAGTTCTACGCTTCATAGGGGCGGTAGGGTAGCCCAGTGGTTAAAGCGTTCGCTCGTCACGCCGAAGACCCGGGTTCGATTGCCCACATGGATACAATGTGTGAGGCCCAATTCCTGGTGTTCCCCGCCGTGATATTGCTGGAATATTGCTAAAAGCGGCGTAAAGCTAAACTCACTCACTCTATGTTTTATAATTGAACTGTTACAAGAATATATTAATTTCATATCCAACACACATATACCAGAACCATTAGAGTATTAACTCCCCGGATAATTTGTTCCGCCCAATGGCCCCACTTCGCGTGATATTTTTCTACCAATACGCTAAACGTCTAAGATCCCAACACCCTTAAAAACAACAGTTGTGTTCCAAGCGACGTTTAGCAACATTGGATCATTCACGCATTAATGAGGGGCGGTGGGGTAGCCTAGTGGCTAAAGCGGTCGCTCGTCACGCCGAAGACCCGGTTTCGATTCCCCACATGGGTACAATGTGTGAAGTCCATTTCTGGTGTCCCCCGCCATGATATTACTGGAATATTGCTAAAAGCGGCGTAAAACTAAACTCACTCACCTTGGCCCGGTTTGCGCGTTCAACAACCCGCTGACAACACTCTTTCCACACTTTTATGTCAAAATTTTCGATCTTTCTTCCAAGTCGCTTGTGTTCTGCGGGATTATCCGTTGCCAATACTTTCGCCTCAATGTCTTTGTCATTGAATGTAACTGGAAATTTAGAGTGAAAATTGAAAAAGGAAAAAATAAAAATATATACATAGATATAATAATATTGATTATGTAAGATAAGCCTGTGGCATTTGTAGAGGGTATCTCAGATAAACACGAAAACATTTCATATGAAAACAGAAATGTTCTCTACTTTCGGTACTTTCATGCTAATCAAATAATGATGTTGGAAAATACATCCATGCTGAAGTACCACAATGATTGAATGGGAGTTCCCTCTCACTAAATCACCCGGCCCCACTCACTCACTCAATCCACTTCCACCAGCAAGCTCGCGCTCTTACACGAACATGATCGGAAACATCCACTTACCCATTCACTCACCCACTAAATCACAACCCACTCCACTCCACCACATCCCATCACACTCCGCTCCTCTCCTCTGTATGTATGTATGCATGCATGTGTGTATGTTTGAATGTATGTATGTATGTATGTATGTATGTTTGTATGTATGTTGTTTGTATGCATGCATGTGTGTATGTTTGTATGTATGTTTGTATGTATGTATGTATGTATGTATGTATGTGTGTATGTTCGTATTTATGTATGTATGTATGTTTGTATTTATTTATGTTTGTATGTATGTATGCATGCATGTGTGTATGTTTGTATGCATGTTTGTATGTATGTTCGTATTTATGTATTTATTTATGTTTGTATGTATGTTTGTATGTATGTATGCATGCATGTGTGTATGTTTGTATGTATGTATGTATGTTTGTATGTATGTTTGTATGCATGTATGTATGCATGCATGTGTGTATGTTTGTATGTATGTATATATGTTCGTATTTATGTATGTATGTATGTTTGTATTTATTTATGTTTGTATGTATGCATGCATGTTTGTATGTATGTTTGTATGTATGTATGTATGTTCGTATTTATGTATGTATGTATGTTTGTATTTATTTATGTTTGTATGTATGTATGCATGCATGTGTGTATGTTTGCATGCTTGTATGTATGAATTCCACTCCGCTCCACTCCACTCCAGCGCTGACTCAGTGATTAGAGCGTCCGCCCGGAGAGCGGAAGGTCGCGGGTTCGATCCCCGGCTCGTACTCACTGAGATATATATCTTATTCAACTTAAAGTGCCAAAAATCGCTACAATTATCTCGAAATGTCAAACCTGAACAAGCATGAATGACCACTTGACACATTATATCCGTGTAAGGGGAATCGAAGGCGAGACAACAGAAGTATGTAACTATTTATGACACGCTGAGGCTCATCCCTCGATACGTAAAAGAAGTGTTCTAGGAAGTGTTATGGTTGTATTTTATGCAGACAGGCAATGTCTGATCAAATAATGATGTTGGAAAATACATCCATGCTGAAGTACCACAATGATTGATGGGAGTTCCCTCTTACTAAAATCACCAGGCCCCACTCACTTACTCAATCCACTTCCACCAGCAAGCTCGCGCTCTTACACGAACATGATCGGAAACATCCACTTACTCATTCACACACCCACTACATCACAACCCACTCCGCTCAACCACATCCCATCACTCCGCTCCGCTCCGCACCACTCCACTCCGCTCCTCTCCACCACATCCCGCTCCACGTCTTACCTACCTTACGATCTGGTTCCCAGTACGTACCAATCACCCGAACAATGACATGACCGTTCATTGTAAAGCCGGTCCAGTGATGTGGAAAGTCCCTGCCTGGCGCTCGGCATTAATGGGTACAATGACTGGTCTGCGCGCGCGCGTGTAATGTGTTTGCTCGGAGTATCAGTATAATGTGTTATGTTTGCTAGGGGGCGTATAACCGGTTTCATGCAGTTCAGACATCACTGCGGCATTCAGAAAACTTCGTAACGCTCGGAAATCTGTTTCAGTGCCAAATATTATTTTACATTTATACTCATAAACCCAGTTAATCGAGCATAGTGATTTTGTTCCGTTTTGCATTATAAATAGTAACTCATTAAGTAGTCTTTTGGTTAAAATACTACTTGCAATATTTTGCAATACATACGCATGCACGTCGTCATATGAGCGAAATATTCTCAAGCACGACGTTAAACCCAATTTCACCTGTATGTATGTATGTATGTATGTATGTATGTATGTATGTATGTATGTATGTATGTATGTATGTATGTATGTATGTATGTATGTATGTATGTATGTATGTATGTATGTATGCTCCACTCACCCGCCTTCTGATACATCATGTACTGTTCACCACAGTTGAATGTCACACCATCAATCTTGAAATAGGCTTCGTGATGGTGACTGAATGGAGACTTGAAACCGTAGAATAAAAACAATTCGTCTTTTCCGGATGATCCTATATATCGTTTGTCTCTATACGTGGGGTTAAACTGGGCGCCGTTTGTTGACGCGTTGCCGCATGTTTCTGTAGGTGTAATCTCCCTTGTCAACCTTGGACCCATTGGTTCATTTTCTCTGTTTCCCAGCTGACGTCTTGAATCGCTGTCTCGTCTTCCCATTGGTTCATTTTCCCGTTTCTTATTATCCTGATCCTGTTTTTCGTTCAACCACTTTCGCTTAGGGCGTACATCGCCATTCTTCGCTTCCTCTGCTCTGACGCCCCCTTCCGTCTGTCTCTCTGCCACCACTTCTCCCTCTTCCGCTATACGAGCCATCTTCTTTTTCTTCTTCTTCTTTTTCTTCTTGTTCTCGGAGTCCGCTGTTGCTTCTGCCTCTTTCTCAATTGCCACGTGTACCTTCGCTTTCGCTTGATGTTTCCGCGGCTGTGCCATCAGTTTATCCCGGACACGAGTCAAGGCATACCCCAAAAGATTTCTTCCTTTCCATGTACTCTTGTCCCAAGCTCTGACATCGTCGCTCGCTAGTCCAATACCCCACTTCTTATTACCCGGGGTGGCCTCAACCAAAAGTTGAGGGTGTGTGGCAAACAGGGATTCATGAAGCTTGGGATTCTGATCGAACTGTAAGAAAAACAACAACTAAAACACAAACCATTTTTAGAATAACCTTAAGTCAAGATGGTCGTGTCAGCATTAAATATTTCAGAACCTATGACGAAAACGAAATGATGTTTATTTATTAATCTTCAATAAATAAACATCACTTTCCAGATTTGGGGCGTTATTTGATATTTGATGACGGACGTTTTTGATGGAGTTTTGGAGTCTGTCCACTCATTCTGCAGGATGTCAGATATGTGGTTTTTTTCAGTATTATAAACTCTCAAAATAAAATAACTGTCTTGTTCGTGAACAAACAATATATATCATGTACATGTCCTATCATTAAGCCATAATTTGTAAAGAAACCCTTAAAGCCCATACGGTGCCAACGCTTTGCTCAGCATCTGTGGTAAGGAATATATATACCTATTCTCATGAATATGCTGTGATTATTGAAAACAAATTTAAGACTCTCCGCTGTTTCCCTACGTTTCCTATCTTCCTCCTGCCACGAATGTTCTCTCCGACGTGAAATGATAAAAACCTATTTATCTCAATTTTCCCCGCCTCTGTAGACTTTGATGTATGTCATGATGTGATATAAAATACTCTATTCCTCCGTACGCATATAAAACCAGGACAGCTTGAATCTCTCTTCATCTATACTTGTATTAAATATTCCAGAAGCATAGCGAACCCATCGTAACAGGCCATAGACTATACTCGGGATTAAAGTGGCCTAGGCAAGAATATACCCTGGGTATATTATGGCCTAGGCCAATTTATACTCCGGGGTATAAATCGGCCTATACCAATTCATACCTCACAGGACAGATTGTACCCCCAGTATAGCCCAGCTGATATATGCCTGGGTTAAGTTGCCTAGGCTAGATTACACCCGGGTATATTATGGTCTAGACCAATTCATACCTCACAGGACAGATTGTACCCCCAGTATAGCCCAGCTGAGATATGCCTGGGTTAAGTTGCCTAGGCTAGATTACACCCGGGTATATTATGGCCTAGACCAAGTTATACCTCACAGGACAGATTGTACGCCTGGGTTAAGTTGCCTAGGCTAGATTACACCCGGGTATATTATGGCCTAGACCAAGTTATACTCCAGGTTTAAATTGGCCTATCCAATTCATACCCCAACTCCCACCAGGTCAGCAGATTATACCCCCAAGACATCAGAGGTGTTTGATTATAAGACTGACTTTTATTACTTCAACCAGGAAAACCACAATCAGTAAAAACAAAAGATCAAAATCACTTTTACACCTGTCAGTATTGTTCACACATTAAAATAAACTATATTCCCCAAACAACGAAACACAATTGTGAAAAAACCCGCTCAATTAACCTTTCTGTTCATAAAGTGATAGCATGTATAATGTGCTGAAACTGAATAATGTCCTCACTGCTGTATGTGTAAATGTACCAAGTTAAACACTGATAACATCAAAATGATCATGGTTGTTGATATACTGTGTAAATACAGTCAAAGCCTTGTTACAGAAGAGGGGTATATTCTGGCCTGGAGGGGCATAGTCTAGCCAAGGATGTTTTACACACCGGGTATAGTGTGGCCTATAGGACAGTTTATTCCCCGGGGTATACTCTAACTATACCCGGATTTAATGCGGGCAGGGGCTAATCTGGCCTGTTACACCGGATCTCTTGGTGGTTGAGCAGGAGGTGAGAAACACATGAAAAATACGGATGATAATAATAATAATAATAATGTATTTATAAAGCGCCTTATATCCACCATAGAGATGCTCAGTGGCATGTCGAAGATTGTGCATCATTTTGTTTGGTTTGTAAATAATCGAGTCTGGGCCAGACAATCTCGTCACACCACAAGCAATCTACGCAATTTTGACATGCAGCAATTAAGTCGGCGAGCTTGACCACTCCAGTTTTTCGCCTATTACGACCATCCTGGGTTGCTGATGACCAATTCTAACCCGGATCTTCACGTGTATGTGAGTGAGTGGGTTAGTTTCGTTTTACGCCGCACTCAGCAATATTCCAGCTATATGGAGGCTGTCTGTAAATAATCGAGTCTGGACCAGACAATCCAGTGATCAACAGCATGACCTTCGATCAACGCAATTGGGAACCGATGACATCGGTCAACCACGTCAGCGAGCCTGACCACCCGATCCAGTTAGTCGCCTCTTACGACAAGCATGGGTTACTGAAGACCAATTCTAACCCGGACCTTCACGTGTATGTAGTGCATCACCCTACCTTGGCTTCGATGGCGCGTTCAAGAACTGTTTCCATGCTGTTCTGCCAAGCCTCCTGGTTGAAATTTTGAATACCTTTCCCACTGTCTTTCAGTTTCTCGTGGTCACTGACGGACAGAATCTTTTTAGCACTTGCGTCGTCATTGGATAGAACTGAAATTGGGAAAATACGGTGTTTGTTGTTTTAAATAACGAGGCAATATTCAGCTCTGGGACGAGTCCGTGATTGAGTCGGATCTTTTGAAAGCATGAATCGTATATACAGAGGAACTGGAATTTTGAAAATGTGCTGTTTGTTTGTTGCATGACATAACCTTCAGCAATATTCCACCTTTATTATGTAAATTATAGTCCGTAAATAATCGTGTCTCTTCAGCACATGCTTCAGATGTAACTGAAAATCTGAAAACCAGACGTCTGTTGCTTAAGATCACACTAAGCAATATTGCAGCTTTATGACAACAGTCTGAGACTTGGCATGAGAATCCAGTGACTGACATCATGAACATCGAACTATGCAACCGGGGTACGATGATATGTATCAACCAAGCGAGTCGAGCTGAGCACCCGATCCTGTTAGTCGCCTCTTACGACAAGCTTGGTGTTTCTGTAATCTGCCTCACAGTCCGTGAACCACATTATTTTACTAAAGCCCCAAATGAAGCAAGTCTAGATTTCCTCATGTTCTGATTTTCCATTCAAACTGGGATTCGTTTTCAATTCAAACTGGTTTATTTGTTACTATCAAAATTATATATATATATTCAGACTCAAAGCGTTAGTCTAGTGTTGCTGAAGACGGTTTCTAAGATTGCAATATGCCAACCGAATCTAATACCCCGATCTATAACGATATTCATAATTATTGAAGGGAGATCTTATATTTTTATTGATTGGAAGATGAGGCTTAGTGACTTAATATGTATAAAGAGACAACTCTGTTTATGCATAAATCATATTGCACTCTATATCTCGTTATTCTACAAATACTAAGCAATAGACCTTGTGCTGAAACTGCTACTACTACCACGACGATTACATCCAATACTACTACATATTTTAATCTAGTTAAACCCCAAACGCGACTACTACTACTACATATTTTCATCTAGCTGACCCCAAACCCCTTACTACTACTACTACTACTACGTATTTTAATCTAGCTGACCCCAAACCCCTTACTACTACTACTACTACTACGTATTTTAATCTAGCTGACCCCAAACCCCTTACTACTTCTACTACTACTACTACTATTGCGTATTTTCATCTAGCTGACCCCAAACCCCTTACTACTACTACGTATTTTTATCTAGCTGACCCCAAACCCCTTACTACTACTACTACTACTACGTATTTTAATCTAGCTGACCCCAAACCCCTTACTACTACTACTACTACAACGTATTTTAATCTAGCTGACCCCAAACCCCTTACTACTACTACTACTACTACTACTACGTATTTTAATCTAGCTGACCCCAAACCCCTTACTACTACTACTACTACTACTACTACTACTACTACTACGTATTTTAATCTAGCTGACCCCAAACCCCTTACTACTACAACTACGTATTTTAATCTAGCTGACCCCAAACCCCCTATTACTACTACCACTACGTATTTTCATCTCGCTGACCCCAAACCCCCTATTACTACTGCTACTACTACTACTACTACGTATTTTCATCTACCTGACCTCAAACCCCCTATAGCTACTACTACTACTACTACTACTACTACTACTACTACTACTACTACTACCACTACCACTACATATTGTAATCTAGTTAACCCCCAAACCCCTACCTAATACACACTCACACCTTGGCACTGATGCATATCAATTATAGCCAGGGTAGGCTGTGACATGTATCTGTACAGTTACAGAAGCCGTTCAAGGTACACGCCACATGATGTGACACGTTAGCAATATAAATAGACGACTTGACACGACGAGCAATGCACACCGCAAACAATACAGTTTTTGTTTCGCGTTCAGTTAAGGCTTTCGATTTCAAAACTAGTAATGACATGAATCTACACTTGCATATTTTACAAACCAGGTCGTGAATTATATCTTTATGTCATAGCACACACGCAGTGTTATTGTACGTGTGTCTCCCTGGCGGTTGTTCTGTCGCTTCCAGCAAAGTATAACTTTGTGTATACTGATCACATCGTTAACTCACCAGCCTGTTGGTAGGTAATGTAGTGTTCGGCGGAGATGAACAGGTTGCCATCTATTTCGAAATCCGCCTTATATTGAAGGCTAAATGTTGAATCGTTGCCCAAGAAGAAGTGAAAATCGTGTTGATCCTCCATGTTTCAATGTAAGCCAACTTGTTATGCAATGTCAGATAATTCTACTTTCAGTATTGCGTTTCTCCTTAACGGGGCCCTTCTTATCTATGGTAGGTGTCACGTGACCCCATTTGGCCACGCCCCATTGTATTGTGGCCACAGTTCTAAGTACCCGATACTTTCGGTTCAGGGGAATTCCCAGAAATTGCCACGTTTACAAAATTGACCATGTTTTATTGATAACATAACGTTATCTCCAAGTCTATATTTGTCACTGGTAATAATATGTGTTGCTAGTTTTAATTTATTATATTTTTAAACTTTCATGAAAAGGGGAATTTCAGGGTTGAAAATACCCGGAGAAATCATGCTACTCTCAGCGACAGCGACAGCCTCTGATGTTACTTATTAACCAACTAAGGGGTGTAACTCTTTTTTTCCAAATGTCAAGTTCAAAAGTGTTTTTGTATATAGTCCGTTTGGCTCAAAAGCGGACCGATGAATTGCAATCTAACTCGAAAACTAATAAACATAAAATACTCAATGAAACACTGATCATAATCAAAACCTCAGACCAACTCTGTGAGGTTTTTGCAGAATTTATGTCCTAAAAATAGAAAAGTTGTTTAACAAACTATCATTAAAATATCGACACAATTCACTATTTGTTACGAGGGAAGAATGCAGAGAAAGGGACAGCCAGGTGTGCGAGAAAGGATGGAGACGGCACAGCACAGGTTAATGAATCAATAACTTTGTCGGCACTTGTGCACGTGTTTCTCTAACACCTGGCTGTCCCTTTCTCTGCACTCCTCCCTCGTAACAAATGGTGAACTGTGTCAAAATTTTGATGATAGTATGTTAAACAACTTTTTTAATTTTAGAACATAAATTCGGCACACAAATCACAGAGTTGGTCTGAGGTTTTGATTATGATCAGCGTTTCATAGAGTATTATATGTTTATTAGTTTTCGAGTTAGATTGCAATTCATCGGTCCGCTTTTGAGCCAAACGGACTATAGTATTCATTTGTTCGATAAGGTGTGACTGTGTGGAGGCTTTTTCAGGCACTTTGTAGGAATTAACATTCTTGCCGTAGATCACCTGAATATTGGCAAGTATCAAAAGGGCGGATAACATATGCTGTATCGTCCTCACGGTAAAGAAATACAAATTCTTCTGAAAAAGGTTTGGGATCATGAAGGGTATATGTTCACGTCAAGCGTAGTCGTTAGTGAGTGAGTGAGTTTAGTTTAGTTCAGTAATAGTACAGCTATATGGCGGCGATCTCTAAATAATCGAGTCTGGACCAGACATTCCAGTGATCAACAGCATGAGCATCGATCTGCACAATTCAGTGAGCCTGACCACCCGATCCCGTTACTGAAGATCAATTCTTCACGGGTATCCATATGGCTGAAATAATGCCAATGCGACGTTTGATTATAGCTTACTCACTCACTCATTGAGCGTCAAAAGAAGTGTTAGGACAAATGACATGTGGTTTCACCATAGGCAAGTGAGTTTGTTTAAAATTGCCTCTGTTCATCCAGCAGAAAATGGGTACCTGGTGGGATAAGTCATGTGACTATTAACCTTCTAGCGCCTCACAACCAGCTTGGGTTATCCGGGGTAATAATAATCAGATTGTCTGCTCTTTAAGCAACCACAACGGATGGCAAATAGCGCATAACAAATGCACTTATTATTATTATGTCTGTAAAACTTAACATAAGAAAGCCTCAAACAAAATATTCTGATAGTGAGTACACGTCATTAAGGCCAGGAATAATTTATTAGTGATAAAACTTGACGGGGAAGGTCGAGTAATATCTGTGGACAATTATTTGTTAATCGTATTGATTCTGTTAATCTTACGGTTAATAGTTCACTTCGGGTTGGTGGGGTAGCCTATTGGTTAAAGCGTCTGTTCGTCATGCTGAAGACCCGGGTTCGAGTCCCTACATGGGTACAATGTGTGAAGCCCATTTCTGGTGTACACGCCGTGATATTGCTGGAATATTGCTAAAAGCGGCGTAAAACTAAACTTACTCACACTTCACATTATTGGTTGTTTGTGTATGACCTATAGTTTTGAGGGCTGTGCAACGAGTGGAGGAACGTCTACAGGCTATAAGTATGCTCGAAATTGATGGTGTCTGTGATAATTAGCAGATTGAGTGAGTGAGTGGGTTTACTTTTACGCCGCACTCAGCAATATGGCGGCGGTCTGTAAATAATCGAGTCTGGGCCAGACAATCCAGTGATCAACAGCAAGAGAATCGATCTGCGCAATTGGGAACCGATGACATGTGTCAACCAAGTCAGCGAGCCTGACCACCCGATCCCGTTAGTCGCCTCTTACGACAAGCATGGGTTACTGAAGGTTCATTTTAACCCGGACCGTCACGGGTCATAAGCAGATTGAAGACCAGGTATCAATAAACCCAAAATGACGACGATCCACCCTGACTTGTGGTGTCCAAGGTCAGCGACAAAAGTAGGTCCGACTGATCAGAGACTCTACGGAATCGGCCCTCAAACGGCCAATCAAATTGCGTCAAAGCTTCATCAGGTTACTGGTGTACGACTTCCGGGTCAGACGATTAGAAATCGTCTACATGCTGCTCATCTCCCTGCCCGACGCCCAGGTGATGTGTCGTCCCTTACAATTGTTGTTTGTTGTTTAACACCGCACTCGGCAATTTCCAGTTTTACGACAGCGGTCTGTAAATAATCGAGACCAGACAATCCAGTGATCAACAGCATGAGCATCGATCTACCCAACTGGGATACGGTGACGTGTCAACCAGGTCAGCGAGCCTGACCAACCGATCCCGTTAGTCATCTGTTACTACAAGCATGGGTTGCTGGAGACCAATTATAACCCAGATCACGGGTCAATTATAGTTCAAAAGCTTTACATTTGAAACATATATCTACACAGGTATAAACGTAAGACCTGTAGGAAATGTGACGGTATAAACTGAGTGGACATTTATTACATATATATGTATATGATTTTCGAAGGACGTACAAAATACGGAGACTGACACACTGCTACTTCAAATTATATTATTTAATAGTAAAAAGGCAAAATTGTACATACATATTACACAAATGGTACGTTCATCACAGGTGATAATAAATAATTATTTGGCATGGATTCTAAATGTTTTAATCACAAATTAAATCATGCGAAGAATGACAAGAAATCTGATATGTTAACAAATCTGTAGTTTACAACACGTGAACGAAATATTGAAAAGAAAATACTTTCGAATAATTGTTATTTCATAACAATAGCAACATACCCTCAACAAGAGAAAACAGTAGATTTAGTGACCTGTGCTGGACACATCACGTGGTCTACTCGAGAACAATTGACAACCATCTTGTCTCGAATGGGGAATAACTGTATCTCGGCTTGGAGTGAGTGCATTTAGTTTTACGCCGCACTCAGCAATATTCCAGCTATATCTGTAAATAATCGAGTCTGGGCCAGACAATCCAGTGATCAACAGCATGAGAATCGATCTGCGCAATTGGGAACCGATGACATGTGTCAACCAAGTCAGCGAGCCTGACCACCCGATCCCGTTAGTCGCCTCTTACGACAAGCATAGGTTACTGAAGACTCATTCTAACCCGGACCGTCACGGGTCATAAGCAGATTGAAGACCAGGTATCAATAAACCCAAAATGACGACGATCCACCCTGCTTGTGGTGTCCAAGGTCAGCGACAAAAGTAGGTCCGACTGATCAGAGACCTGGCTCTACGGAATCGGCCCTCAAACGGCCAATCAAATTGCGTCAAAGCTTCATCAGGTCACTGGTGTACGACTTCCGGGTCAGACCATGCTGCTCATCTCCCTGCCCGACGCCCAGGTGTTGTGTCGTCCCTTACAATTGTTGTTTAACACCGCACTCGGCAATTTCCAGTTTTACGACAGCGGTCTGTAAATAATCGAGACCAGACAATCCAGTGATCAACAGCATGAGCATCGATCTACCCAATTGGGATACGGTGACGTGTGTCAACCAGGTCAGCGAGCCTGACCAACCGATCCCGTTAGTCATCTGTTACGACAAGCATGGGTTGCTGGAGACCAATTATAACCCAGATCACGGGTCAAAGTGAATAGCTATCCCTTTATAGTTCAAAAGCTTTACATTTGAAAAATATATCTACACAGGTATAAACGTAAGACCTGTAGGAAATGTGACGGTATAAACTGAGTGGACATTTATGACATATATATGTATATGATTCAAGGACGTACAAAATACGGAGACTGACACACTGCTACTTCAAATTATATTATTTAATAATAAAAGGCAAGAATTGTACATATATATTACACAAATGGTACGTTCATCACAGGTGATAATAAATAATTATTTGGCATGGATTCTAAATGTTTTAATCACAAATTAAATCATGCGAAGAATGACAAGAAATCTGATATGTTAACAAATCTGTAGTTTACAACACGTGAACGAAATATTGAAAAGAAAATACTTTCGAATAATTGTTATTTCATAACAATAGCAACATACCCTCAACAAGAGAAAACAGTAGATTTAGTGACCTGTGCTGGACACATCACGTGGTCTACTCGAGAACACTTGACAACCGTCTTGTCTCGAATGGGGAATAACTGTATCTCGGCTTGAATCGAACGGCAGACAACTGGATCTGGGTTTATAGTCCCCTGGACTTTGAATATACATGGTTGCGTTGATTATCATATTATTTACTACAAAGCCAATAATATGACAGTCTAAGTAAACCTAGGCTCAGTATTATTCGTTACACTGCTAGATATTGAGTCTAACAAACCCTAGTGGTCGCGTCAGCTAACCTTTGAGCGACCTATGACCGTCCAGTCAAAGGCGAGACGGCCGAACGGATTTAACCAATCTGACAACTACTTGTTAGGGTGAGTGAGTGCATTAAGTTTTACGCCGCACTCAGCAATATTCCAGCTATATGATGGCTGTCTAATCGAGTCTGGGCCAGACAATCCAGTGATCAACAGCATGAGCATCGATCTGCGCAATTGGGAACCGATGACATGTGTCAACCAAGTCAGCGAGCCTGACCACCCGATCCCGTTAGTCGCCTCTTACGACAAGCATAGTCGCCTTTTTGAAGACCTATTCTACCCCGGATCTTCACGGGTCACTACTTGTTAGGGTTCGGCGGGTTCGGCGGGACTTACAAAACGGTTTTTGGATTTTCTCTTCCCTGGTCGCTGACACTGATCTATCAACAAACGAAAATCCGCATAAAACACAGATATTTGATCTGCAGTATATACGCTTATAGGATTCTAATGACATGGTTACTATTAGCTTATATTTCCGCAAGATGACATCCTTGAATATTGACAAAAACGCTACTTTGAACGACTGTTTACCCATTACGTCCCCATGTGTATCACTCGGAAGCGATCGTGCGAAAATAGCATTCGGAATTGTTCGAGTTTTTTAGGTAAAGGTTCAAACGGTATGTGGGAATGTTAACTTTCGCGATTTGGTAAGCTGTGTTTTCATGACCAGATGTTCCACGATGTGGAAAGCCACAAAGCGACAAAATAAAAAATCATATAAATCTGAACGTCAACTTAAGCGCATCTGTTAGAAAAAAAGAAAAGAAACCATACCCAGGTCAGTTATGAAAAACAAAGTGGTCGGTATATACAAGTGTCTGGTGTTCCACTAGTACACTATATACAAAGGAACACGTGGTCCTCAATATACTGAGGTACTTTGGGACACCTAACCTTCGACATACCGAGATATGTCGGTTGCTGGGCAATCTTCTGTTTACGTTGTAAACATAGTAACACACAAAACAACAATCTAGTCAATATGCCATTCAAGAATACTTGTCACTTTGATGGAAAAGTTAATAACTTTCTAATTTACATTGATTGACCTCTTTTCAACCTGATATAAATAAGGCATTAAGGCTTTTTACCCCTCTCGGATATCATATCAATTTGCCTCAAATCGTCTTGGTCATATCTCTACATGTCTATCGGGAATACACGTGATCTGCATGAATGGACACATGAATCGTCGATGTCTAGTTACGGGGGTGAGTGAGTGAGTTTAGTTTTACGCCGCACTCAGCAATATTCCAGCTATATGGAGGCGGTCTGTAAATAATCGAGTCTGGATCAAACAATCAACAGCATTAACATCGATCTACGCAGTTGGGATACGATGACATGTGTCAGCCAAGTCAGCGAGCCTGACCACCCGATCCCGTTAGTCGCCTCTTACGACAAGCATGGGTTACTGAAGATCAATTCTAACCCGGATCTTCACGTTTGGCATATACAATTAAGTAAGCAAAGAAACAATTCAGATTGAACCATTGTTTGCCACAAAAGGTTGTCACCGAGAGCTCATGCCCAGTGCAATGTATTCCGAAACGAGGCTAACATAAAAGTGCTACTTTTTTTTTTCTACTCATGTCTTAACTGTCTTTTGTAGAGTGCGTTATAAATTCAGTCACTCACTTGAGGAGTGCAAAAGGGAACTTCATTGTGACGTAAATCAGTCACGTGTGTCGTGATGTCATCCAGCCTTCGCGTGTAGCTCCATGGAAGTTTGGCTCTCACACAAAGTCAGCCTAGCGACCAAATGTCTCCCTTTTATATAATGATAATACAAACACATGTACCTCTCAACCTTCATCTTCACATGTGTACGACAAAACTTTCACTAGTATGTACAGTTCAGGCACGTCTCCCCTCCACGACCTCTTCGTGTATCTTGATGTTAGCTGTTCTGTAAGTCTCCTTCTACTTCCTCTGTCACTACAATTTCGTCTTCTCACGCGGTTGCCTTGTCAGTCACTTCTCCCTTTGGTGCATCCTTTCCTTTCTCTACTTCGTCTGAGTGTGGATTACTGTCGTGTTCAACAACAGCTGCTTGTTCAGGATTCACATCTCCAGTCTTGTCTGTCTCCTCTTGTTCCATCCCATCTCCTCCCGCTTCTTCTCCCTCCATCACGACTTCCTCGCCTTGTGTTTCAGGTGTAGCGTCGACCTCTACAGCAGCTGATTCTATACAATCACTAATCTCTTCCTGTTGGAGAGTAGCTGTTCCTCACATCTTCTCGCCAGTTATCGCCGTAAATCTTTGGAACAAAATCTTCCTCCGCCGGAGAGGGCTCCTTCACTACATTCTCATCTTCCCCTTTATTCACCTGCTTTTTGTCATTTTTCTGTATCGTCTTTCCCCCTTCGTCATCTTCCTTCGACTCATCAGATAACGATGTGACAGCTTCTGTTGTCTTCACTTCCTGCATTGTACCATCACTTTTCTTCTCCTCTCCCTCATGTATCGTCCTCCCTCCGTCATCATCTTCCTTTGTGGTATCAGGCACAGATGTGACATCTTCTGTTGTCTTCACTTCCTGCATTGGACCATCACTTTTCTTCTCCTCTCCCTCATGTATCGTCCTCCCTCCGTCATCATCTTCCTTTGTGGTATCAGGCGCAGACGTGAGATCTTCTGTTGTCTTCACTTCCTGCATTGTGCCATCACTTTTCTTCTCCTCTCCCTCATGTATCGTCCTCCCTCCGTCATCATCTTCCTTCGGGGTATCAGGCACAGATGTGAGATCTTCTGTTGTCTTCACTTCCTGCATTGTACCATCACTTCTTCTCCTCTCCTCATGTATCGTCCTCCCTCCGTCATCATCTTCCTTCGGGGTATCAGGCACAGATGTGACATCTTCTGTTGTCTTCACTTCCTGCATTGTACCATCACTTTTCTTCTCCTCTCCCTCATGTATCGTCCTCCCTCCGTCATCATCATCTTCCCTTCGAGGTATCAGGCACAGATGTGATCTTCTGTTATCTTCATGCTGTACCATCACTTTCTTCTCCTCTCCCTCATTATCGTCCTCCTTCGTTCATCTTCCTTAGTATCAGGTACAGATGTGACATCTTCTGTTGTCTTCCTGCATTGTTCATCACTTTTCTTCTCCTCTCCCTCATGTATCGTCCTCCCTCCGTCATCATCTTCCTTCGGGGTATCAGGCACAGATGTGAGATCTTCTGTTGTCTTCACTTCCTGCATTGGACCATCACTTTTCTTCTCCTCTCCCTCATGTATCGTCCTCCCTCCGTCATCATCTTCCTTCGGGGTATCAGGCACAGATGTGAGATCTTCTGTTGTCTTCACTTCCTGCATTGGACCATCACTTTTCTTCTCCTCTCCCTCATGTATCGTCCTCCCTCCGTCATCATCTTCCTTCGAGGTATCAGGCACAGATGTGAGATCTTCTGTTGTCTTCACTTCCTGCATTGACCATCACTTTTCTTCTCCTCTCCCTCATGTATCGTCCTCCCTCCGTCATCATCTTCCTTCGTGGTATCAGGCACAGATGTGACATCTGTTGTCTTCACTTCCTGCATTGTACCATCACTTTTCTTCTCCTCTCCCTCATGTATCGTCCTCCCTTCGTCACCATCTTCCTTCGTGGTATCAGGCACAGATGTGAGATCTTCTGTTGTCTTCTTCTTCCTGCATTGTACCATCACTTTTCTTCTCCTCTCCCTCATGTATCGTCCTCCTCCGTCATCATCTTCCTTCGTCCATGGGTATCCAGGCACAGATGTGAGATCTTCTGTTGTCTTCACTTCCTGCATTGTACCATCACTCTTCTTCTCCATTCCCTCATGTATCGTCCTCCCTCCGTCATCATCTTCCTTCGAGGTATCAGGCGCAGATGTGACATCTTCTGTTGTCTTCACTTCCTGCATTGTACCATCACTTTTCTTCTCCATTCCCTCATGTATCGTCCTCCCTCCGTCATCATCTTCCTTCGAGGTATCAGGCACAGATGTGACATCTTCTGCTGTCTCCGTTTCTTTTTCTCTGTCATGACCATCCTTGTCCACTGGTGCCTCAGCCTTCCTCCCTTCGTTAACATCTCTCTCTGTGCCTTCTTGCTCCGTTGTTATTTCTTTTTCTCTCAGAAGTTCGTTTCCCGTTTCAATCCCTTCCGAATCATCCCTTTCATTGCCTCCTCCTTCCACAAAGTGTTCTGTTTCTAGTGCCTGCGTGGCCTCTTCTGCTACCGTCCCTCTCTCACCAGCATTGCCCTGTTGCGGCACTGTTGCCGTTCCGCCGTTCCCCTGTCTGTCTTCAGCTATACCAGTTTCAGCAACCTCCATGTTATCTTCTCCAGACTTGGTTACCTGCACTGCCGACTTCCTTCCTCCATCCAGTTGTTCCTCTATCTTCAAGCCTTTTACTGCACCATCATTCTTTCCCTCAGCATCAAGTACCATAAATCTTGCCTTTTCTACACCATTTTCTAATATCTCCGTTTCTCCATCATCAGTCTTCTCGCCTGCCTCTTCGCCCTTCTCCTGTTCTTCTAATGGTGTGCTCTCTTCACTCTTCCCCAGTTCCTCTCTTTGATTCTTCTCCACCTTCCCTTGTTCCACCACGTTTTCCTCACCCACCTCTGTACTATCAAGACCGGCTACATCTTCCTCTGTGCCATCATCTTCTCCTTCAACTGGGACATACTCCAACTTTTCTTCCTCTCCTAGACTGTTCTTTGCTCTCTGGTGATGTTCCATCAGGCTCTTGTCACCACCCGACACACTTTCTGCATCTTTGGTCTCACTCACCTCACGTTCTCTCAAACTGACATCTTCCATTTCATCATCCCAATTCTCCCTCACATCCTGTTCGCTGCATGGTCTGCTTTCATCTTCTTCAACAGTATCATCAGGTCTTTGTATCTCCACATTTACTGCATTATTTTCGTCTTTCATTGTCTTTACATCTTGCTTATCATCTCCACCCACTGCAGCTTCCTTCATAGTCCCGCCTTCTTCCACAAGAATCAGCGTATCATCTTCTTCACCTTCTGTCGTGCCCTGAGGCTTCACATCTCCATCACCCACTTCCTTCTGCACCTTCTCCTTTCTCCATAAGTCTGTCCCTGACATGGGTCAAAGTGTAGCCCAGTACGTTCTGCCCTCTCCAGAATTTTGTATTCCATGCATTGGACCTACTCTCTACATACCCAAGACCATATCCAATACTCCAGAAGAGGTCCTCATGATTACACTCTGCTAACAGTTTTGGGTGTGTAGCAAACAGTTGCTCCTTCAGGTCGGAATTCTGAGTGAACTGAAGAAACAAGGAAACGGTGAGTCATTTCAAGAAACTTGAAGATCAACAGAATGATTACGTTTAACACAGTATTTTTCATAAAACAATGAATGAGTTTAAAATTGCGATCATTTCCTTTTCCAAAAAGAATTCCATATAGTGTAAGTTGGTATTTTGAAAAGAACGGGAATCAGTGTATCATTTGTCTTTGGATAAAAGATTGCCAAATAATACCACCATGGTACTACATGCTCTCTAACCTTTGCCGTGATGCCACGTTCAACAATGTGTATGCGTTTCTGTTCCCATACATCATCCTGGAAGTTCTCGATCTCATAGCTATAATCCTCCTGTGCTTTGGGGTCATTTGTGGACATGATGTTCTTCTGACATTCCTGGTCCTCAAATATCACTGGAAAACAGGCACAAGATAAACACGATAAACATTGCTTCTTTAAACCCCGGTTCATGGAATTCTGTCAAAAAGCCCTCAACTACCAGCATAACTAAGAAAGTTATAGGCACACAGTTTGATCAGTCGGTTGAAACGCAGAAAGTGGAAGTACATCGATCTGATTAAGGCAGTTTTGTTCTTTTTAATAGATATGCATGTATGACCATGCGAGCATGATCAGTTGTCTAAGGCGATACAGACACTCATCATATTACGATTTTTCTTACACAAATAAACAACCTAACAACCTAACCTAATGAACCAGTCATTCTTGCATTATAAAACCGAAACCAACAACATTCCCATTCTATACCCACCGATACTTTTGTGGTTAGAGTATATGTTCATACAGTTCCATCACATACAGTGAAACAAGAACTCAGCCGTCATCAACTCATCAACCATGCTCAGCCGTCATCAACTCACCAGCCATTTGGTACAGGGTGAACTGTTCAGCACTGGAGAAGGTTTGACCATCGACTGTGAAACTGACCGGATAATGTTGACCAAATGGAGACTTGATGCCCCCGAAAAATTCAAAGTTTTCTTTCCCGGACACATGTTTGTAAGATTCTCGTCTGGATTCGTACATGGAGCTATCTTCCTTCTGTGTCACCATATCATCTCTCACTCTGTCACATTCGCGTCTGGTTTTGGGATCCCTTTCTCTGGTATTTCCACTGTCCAAATATGATTGTTCCCTTCTCCTCTTTTTCATCTTCTCCTCCTCCTCCATTTCCTCCCATCTCTTGTCATCTTTCCACTTCTCCCATTCCTCCCAGTGCGTGTCCTCCTTCTCCATCAGTCTATCTCTCACTCGGGTAATGATATAGCCAAGCTGGTTTTTGCCCCGCCATGTCTCTTTATCCCAGGCTAACGGGTCTTTTTGGCTTCGCCCTATTCCCCACAATCGGTCTGATGGACTCGCCTCCACCAAGAGCTTGGGGTACGTGGCGAACAGGGGTCCCTGCAAATGTGGATTCTGAGTGAACTGAAACAAGAGTGAGTGAGTTCAGTTTTAGCCCACTTTTAGCAATATTCCATTAATATCACTTCGGGCAACACCAGAAATGGGCTCCTGAAACAAGAACAAGATAATTAAGGACTGGGTATTTTGTATCCAAACATATCGCAAAAACGGTGCTTATGATATTTCCAGCTGTAGACTTCAGCTGTAGTAGCTATAAAAACAACCTTGGTTTGTTACATCATACTAGTATAAGTTTCTCTCATCTTCTCACTATACGTGCCTATCCATTATCATGTTCCAGCTACATTGACGACAGGTACATATTGTGTGGATCAGACACTCCAGTGATTTGTATCATCAACAACGATCTACGTGGTCGGGAACGGTGACCCGACGACATCAATCTTATAACAGAGACTGTGGTCATCCAATCCAGTAAGTCACGTCTTGCAACAATTTCAACTCCAAGGCTGCTAGGGACCAAATCTAACCCTGAATCCCTGGGGTTGCCAGTTTTGGTGAGTGAACAAAGACTACAAACATGTAAGATGTTTAATACTTTCCAGCTATTATACGTAACTGCCGTAATGTCATTACTTAAACCATCTTGACGCCATTATCTAAACTTATTTATGCCATTTTCCAAACCTTATTGGATGTTTAGTCAACATAAACTGTAAAAGCCATTATCTATACCTTGAATGTTTAGACAACTTGCCGTGATGCCATTAACGAAACGTTTTTATGCCATTATCCAGACCTCATTAGTCGTTTAGACAAGCCGCCCTAATGCATTTATCTAAGCATTGCATGTTTAGAAAACGTGCCGTGATATCATTATCTAAACATTGGACGCCTTTTGAATGTTTCGACAACTTTCACTGATGCCGTGATTGTGAAAACTTCTATGATGTTTAAACAAGAGAAGACGTAATAAGAAATGGTGACGACAAACCAAGGGTCATAATCGAATGTTGTGGCATGGCGTATAAAGAGTGTCTCATGCAGTGTTAGTTGACGCCTTCAGAAGACACTTGTATGAACATGTAACAAATCAAACCTTAGCCTCCGTTGCCCGCTCAACCACATCTATGAAGTGTTTCTTCCATACTTCGAATTTGAATTCTGGGATCTGCCGCCCGTAACGCTTCTGTTCCACCGGGTTAGACGTCCCCATGATCTTCCGTTCCATTTCTTTGTTCTTAAATATAACTGCAAGGATAAGCCAAAACTTGTATGATGTGGATAGTGAATACAAACACGAAGAGACAAACATATTATATAGAGTATAGACATACATTATGTTCCAAACTGCATGCATAAATCATCACTTGTATGAAGCAGATAGTGAATACAAATATCAAGAGTTTTGTTTTTGTTTGTTGTTAAACAACGCACTCAGCAACATTCCAGTAATTGGGATACGTTGACATGAATCAACCAAGTTAAACTAACATCTAGTCCGTGAAATGAACATATTTTGCAGAAAAAAACCTGTTCATAACATATAATGAAACAGAGCCCAGAGACTTTCTTCATTTTCAGAAATTGAAAGTCTGGACTTGCCACATATTCTAGACTTGCATGGGCTTTCTTGGATATATTTGTTTCAGAGGTCTGTATGACAGACTTCAACCAAGTTAGCGAGCCTGTCCACCCGATCCCGTTAGTCGCCTCTCACGACAAGCAAGGGTTACTGAAGATCAATATTCTAACCTGGATCTTTACGCGTCAAACATGGAGAAACAAACACTTAGACTGACATTATGTTCCTAAATATTACTGCAAAGACAACTGAACACTTGTTTGGGTGTGGAAAATGAATACAACAAAAACATGGATTGGCGCATACTGAAAGAAAAAGGGGAGAGGCGCGCACCCTACCCCAACACCGACTCCAAAAAATAATTACTATAAGTAGAACATGATTAGCTCAAGTTCTTTCTAAGACAAATTAATTCCTTAAATCCTTAATCAAGAAAGTACATATGTAGAATTCAGAAGAACAAAACATCGTATTTACCGGTCTTCTGATACATCATGTACTGCTCAGCACAGTTGAATTCGGTATCGTCTATGACGAATTTGGCTGGATGTTGCTGGCTGAATGGCGACTGATTGCCGAAAAAAAGGACAAATTTATCCTGGTTAGGCATTTCTGTGTAGAACCCTTTAGTGTTTCTTGGCCCCATGTTTCTCCATCCATGTTTGTTCAGGTCGCGTTGTGTTTGCTCATCTGTCATATTTCGCTTGGGACGAGACGTTAGTTCTGTTTCATCCCAAAGTGGCATCTCGTCGGTTATATTCTGCCAGTCCGACATTCTGTCTGATTCTTTGTACTCTTCACCCGTCACGTGATGTTCCTCCAAGCCTTTGTGCCTCCTTCTCACCTTCCCCACCATAACTCTCCTGCCTGTTGCTACTTTGAGCTTTATGTCCTTCTGCCTTTTGGCGCTTCCTTTTCCCGCCTTTTCTTTCACTACCACGAATTGTATGCCCTTCCATCCCTAGGCTCATCTCTTTCCCGCCCTGTCTATTGTTTCCCTCGGAGGTGTGTTCTTCTGTCCCTTGTGTTTTTGCATCCCCACCCTGCACCTTGTAATCCAGACTCGATTGACCTGTAATTTGGCTCTCCCATCTCCCAATCTGATTCATTCTGTCCCGCCTTGCCTGTCCTTCTACATGGCTGTTCCCTCCACCACCCTGCCATCGCTCTTCCCGACCCGCCTGTCCTTCTACATGGCTGTTCCCTCCACCACCCTGCCATCTCTCTTCCCGACCCGCCTGTCCCTCTACCCAATGGCTGTTCCCTTCTTCACCCTCCCTTCTCCCATCGTGTCCCGCCTGTCTCTCTACTCCATGACTGCTTCCTCCACCACCCTGACTTCCCCCATCCCGTCCCTCTACCCCATGTCTGTTCCCTCCATCATCCTCCTCCCTATCCTGTCCCTCAACCCGATGACTGCCCACCCTGCCTTCCGCCATCCCCGTCCCGTCTGTCCCCTACCCCATGTCTGTTACCTCCACCACCCTGCCTTCCCCATCCCGTCCCGCCTGTCCCCCCTACCCCATGTCTGTTCCTCCAGCATCCCCTTTCCCCTATCCTGTCCCTCAACCCGATGGCCCTCCACCACACCCTGCCTTCCCCTGTCCTCCCCTACCCCATGGCTGTTCCCCCCACCACCCTCCCTTCTCCCATCCCGTCCTTCTACCTTATGGCTGCTCCTTCCACCACCCTGCCATCTCATGCTGCCCCGTCTGTCCCTCTACCGCTTGGCTGTTCCCTCCACCACTCTCCCTTCCCCCATCCCGTCCCTCTACCCAATGGCTGTTTCCTCTACCAAACCGCCTTCTTATATTTCCTCCATCACCCTTCTTTCTCTCATCCCGACCCGCCTGTCCCTTTACCCCATGGCTGTTCGATCCAGCACCCTGCCTTCTCTCATCCCCATCAACCTGTCCCTCTACCCCATGGCTGTTCCCTTCGTCCCGCTGTCTTCTTTCATCCCGACCCGCCTGTACCTCCACCCTTTTATCTTGCATCTGGTCATTCTCCTGTGGCCTGTTCTCCATCTTCATGAGCTTGTCCCTGATTTTAGTAAGAACATCGCCATATACGTTATAGTCACCGAAGCCCTTCCCGGACAAAGCTTTGGGATTTGTAGCCGATAGCCCAATACTCCAGAACCTGTCTGCAGTAGTGGCATATGCCAGTGTCCTCGGGAATGTGGCAAATAATTGTTTCTTTAGGGCTGGATTCTGTGTGAACTGACAACAGAAGGTGCATTTTACACATACAGTAGAAGCTGTATAATCCGACATAGTCTGTCGTACAGACCCTGAAGCAAATATATCCAAGAAAGCCCACTCAAGTCAAGTCAAGAAAATGTGGCAAGTCTAGATTTCCTCAGCTTCAGGGTCTGTACCAATCTGCTGAATTCACAAGCCAGAATATGGCTTGTAATTATCAGTTGATCTCTAGCTGTCACTAGTGTTTAATATTAACTCATGGGGAGCCTCCCCCACCACTCCCCAAGACCCCACGCTGAGCCAAGACCTCCTGCTTCTGCCTGTCCTCTCACTCCAGACAAACAACGTGTGTGATTACACTAGAGACCTGATGACTTATAAAATCTGAGTATTTTCTTTAACTCTCTCTCTCTCTCTCTCTCTCTCTCTCTCTCTCTCTCTCTCTCTCTCTCTCTCTCTCTCTCTCTCTCTCTCTCTCTCTCTCTCTCTCTCTCTCTCTCTCTCTCTCTCTCTCTCTCTCTCTCTCTCTGTGTCACAAACGACAGTGGAGGATGGGGGCACTTCATCACACACCTTTTCTTCAAGGGCGAGTTCAGCCCATTTAATCCTTTCCCTATTCCATTTGCGAGCATCGACGTTGCGGACATTCTTTCCACAGCGTTCTATTATCTTCAGGTCACGTGTTTCCATGATATCAATAGCTTGTTCCTTGTCTTTGAAGAAGTCTGAAAATAGAAGCGTCATTTAAGATGGAACTCATAACTGTTCTTTTAGAAAACAGTAACATTATTTTAGTAAAAGATGCGATTTTAAATTGCATGATGTACATACTGACATCTATAACACAGCTCCTGGAAAACAATGGCAAAATCGACATTCTATACAAACAACACACATGGCATCCGTTTACGTTTAGATCAGGAGAGAGGGAAATGAGTACCGTTTTGGATTTGTTTCAGTAACATTCCAGCTGTATCACGACAGTCAATAAATAAATAGTTGGGTCCAGAAAAGTAAGTGATTAACATCATGAGAATCGATCAGCTGGGACACGATGACATGTATCAACTCAGTCAGCAAGTCTGACCACCCGATCCCGTTAGTCGCCTCTGATGACGTAGGTATCGTAGTTTATTGCAATTACTCTGTATTTCTTCAAAGGTTGTTATCATTATTGCGGATCGGAAGTATGTTTGCTGATCATAATTGCTTAAAGGACCAGGGCCTAGATTTTCGAAGCTCTCTTAGCGCTAAGATAGTCGTAAGTTAATGTTAATGTATGGCACTTACGACTATCTTAGCGCTAAGAGAGCTTCGAAAATCTAGGCCCTGTTTACGTGTCACAAGTCTGACAATATATATGTGTGTGTATATATAGACCTGACGTTGCAAATCGTTTTCGTTATAGAAAATACATTCATGTTCATGTTGCAACACCTTACTGGGTAGTTACTAACGAATTTCACTTTCATTTCAAGATAAACCATTGTTTGATTTAAAAAAAATAGACTACTATTTGTTCATACCGCGATATATGCGTCGCATATAACTGATGGTGCTTTTGACTGTGATAAGCAGTTTAATCACTCTAAAGTGTAATTGGTAAACATTATCTACGGTATATGTAATTCATCGAGGTGACATTCAGTAATTAAAAGTAATCTAGAGCATACCATGTTTAAAATAACAAGAGATTTTGTCAGTTTGCGGGGGTGCATTTCAATCAGGTATTTTATCCGTCCTTCGTTAAATTTGAAATTTTAGACACTGGAATGTGCACACACAACTCAAAACAGACAGTTTGGTTCATGTACATACATGTTGTTACATCTGACTTAACACACATTTGGATACTCATTCAGCGTTCGAACGTACCTGCCTTCCGATACATCAAATACTGTAGAACACTGTAGAATGTTTTTCCCTGGATGTCGAATGGAGCTTCATGTCGTGGGCTGAATGGCGAGTCGACTTGGAATAACTCAAACTCACCTTCGCCCGCCATGTTGGTGTGCAAATGAAAAGTAGGCTGCTTGAACGATTCTCACTAAAACTGTAAATCCTATTTTCACTTTCACATTTGCTGTTATCTGTCGCCCAGGTTGGAACAGTAACGGAAACAGTTTGCGCTTCTTATCGGTCTGGCGTAGAACGACTGCATTTTAAAACTCGTGTTGAGATCTCCTTGATAAGAATAAAAAAATTGATTTCATATTAATTTCCAAGAAATCCGATCATGCCCATGTCAAGATTTCGGAGCAATTACGACACTTCCTTGTGTGGGGAAAACCCAAAGGGAGGTAACTCTGTTTTCCTAACTGTTGCGCTTTTCCCGACCGTACAAATGGTTGATTAACACAAATGGGAGGTCGTATCTCTACTGTTGGGCGCTTTCTTGGGGGTAGGGGTACAAAACTCAGGGAGATTTCTTTTCACTTTGTCTGTTATCTCATTCTTAATATTCCGCGTATATTATCGTATTCTTTGGTTGTTGGGGGCGGTGGGGTAACCTAGTGGTGGTAAAGCGTTCGCTGTTCACGCTGAAAACCCGCGTTCGATTCCCCACATGGGTACTATGTTTTGAAGCCTATTTCTGGTGTCTCCTGCCGTGATATTGCTGGAATATTGGTAAAGGTGGCGTGAAACTAAACTCACTCACTCACGCTTTGGTTGTTGCGAAAACTAACACATATCATCTGAATGTTACTTGTCAAACGTAGCTGAAAATATTCCAGAGTCGGAAGTATTGATATAAGCAATAATCCTAGTCATGTCAAATTTATTTACCTTTTCTATGCTTAGGACCATGGCAATCCTAAGATTTCAAGATCTACACATCACAAATTAATGTATTAAATCCTTTGAATCTATGTATTAAGAATGTTTGGGATAAATTATTTAGCAGACCCTGAATGTAAGAGGCGACTAATAGGTTCGCGAAGGTCGATGCTCATGCTGTTGATAACTGGATTGTCTGGTCCTGACGATTTACAGACCGCCACCATACAGCTGGAATATTGGCGTTAAACAACAAAAAAAACAAAAAAACACAAATATGAATTATTTAGATAAACATAATTGATTACTTTGGACACTTTGAGAAAAGGGTCATCTGCAAATTTCGTAATCTGCCAATAAATTAGTCTTGACCTTTTGTTTCAATAAACAAACAAGTTTTCGTGAGGTCATTATGTACAATGCTATTTTATGCCACAGTCAGTATATCAGCCTTAACGATCGCAGCTTGTGTACAGTGAAACCGCAATCAATCAAAAGGTTGACAGCATGAAGCATATGTTGCCAGGACAACGGGTTGACACAGTCGTCTAAGGTGCCTCAATTCACTGTAGAGTTGGACCAGTGAAGATCCGGGTTAGAATTGATCTTCAGTAACCCATGCTTGTCGTAAGAGGAGACTAACTGGATCGGGTGGTCAGACTCGCTGACTTGGTTGACACATGTCATCGTATCTCAGTTAGGTAGATCGATGCTCATGCTGTTGATCACTGAATATCTGGTCCAGACTCGACTATTTACAGGCTGCAGCTATATAGCTGTAATATTGCCGAGTGCCTTGCAAAACTAAACCCACTCACTGTAGAGTTGACTCTCTAAGTATGCAAGAAACCTATATACTCGGTTCGACAGCACTCTTAACGCATGAGCACGCTGGGCAGTTGACCCTGCCCCACAAACATAGGAATCCCGTGCTTATCTATGTATGTTGTTACTTGATGTCAATACTGACTGACTGAGTTTGGTTTTACGCCGCTTTTAGCAATATTCCAGCAACATCACGGCGGGGGAACACCAGAAATGGGCTTCACACATTGTACCCATGTGGGGATTCGAACCCGGGTCTTCGGCGTGACGAGCCAACGCTTTAACCACTAGGCTATCCCACCGCCCCTTTGCTGTCAATAAAAAATAAATACTCATTTACTAAACTGTTCATATGTTACTGGAAAATGAATATTTAGCATGTGTTACATTAAAGATAAAGGCCTGTCGGGTAGCCTAGTGGTTAAAACGTTCGCTCGTCACGCGGAAAGTCCAGGTTCGATTCCCCACATGGGTACGATGTGTGAAGCCCATTTCTGGTGTCCCCCGCCGTGATATTGATGGATTATTGCTAAATGCTGCGTAAAACTAACCAACTCACTCATTAAAGATAATAGACACTATTATGTGATTCTGTATATTTATTGTGAAAGCCCAAGAACAGTTTAACACTTGTCCCGTAACCTGACTTTGACCAGCCCTGGTTTCATTCCCTTAATATAACACAGGGTAACATCAAGTACCATCTTTTAAAGGATTGCCACATAAACATATAACTGATAACCGACCTCGTCTTCAGGTTTGTTATTGTTGAATATTGGTCACATGAACCAGTGGGTTAAAAGACATATCATGGGTTGAGGGATGTAAGGGAGATAACTCCTTGACTGCTTATATCATTTTTTGTTATACTGTAGCTCTGTTGATATGGTAATGTGTGAAAGGGATAAGAGTGATGTGTGTGCTATGTCAAAGGATGCTATTGAATAATAATGCTTACCTCAGGTAAATGCCCTATTGTATATCAATTTTATACGACGCAGACAGATTCACAGGCCCTTGTGTCTTTGCGAGGATTAAAGATTAGGGCTGGATATTGCTCTGATTCTCATATTGCAATAATTCAAGAGATACTGCAATACACATTGTGATATATTGACTGGAAGGTTTCTGTCCAAGTGCGTACATCATGACAGCTCTCTGTGTGACATCATCTTCTTAGTTTCTGTTACACCATACGTTCAGGCTCCCTGTCCCCATTATGTATGGCTGTATGCCAGTGGTGTACAGATAAATGATATAGAGCCTTAATGTGGAATATTTCATTGAAGTAACTGCATTGCAACAAAGTTTTGCGAACATAATGATAAAGGTAATAGTATAACATGATTTTCATGGTCAGTGTTGTTTGCTTCAACAGAATGCACTTCAATGCAGTATGTAATTATTGTTACTGTTTGTCAGTGATTCATTCAGATTCAACTCCAATATAAACATGTGTTGTAACATGAACTGTTGTAAAATGAAACAAAACATAATTTAGGTGATCTACTTGAGCTGAAAATCTCACATGACCTCCAATAACTAAGATCCTTGACTAGAAAACTGATAAGACTTTGGCCTTTATCATAATTGATAACATATGTCCCATTATGAAACAAAACAAAAATAACAAAATAATGTGCACTGCGAAATGGTCACTCAGAGCCAGTATCTCTACTTATAAGTCCGAATAAAAGATTGGTCAAATCTTTGAAGGGCATTTAGAAGTGGAATGCATAAGAAAAGCAAGATTTATGGATGTCAACTTCTTTATTGGGAATATTCATGACCTGATGAAGGAGCAAGCATAGACTCTGAAACGTTGTGTTATTCACAACAAGAAGTTGACATCCATAACTCTTGCTTTTCTTAAAAGATTGGTCCCTTTGAGGCCACTTAATTCCTCCCCAAACGTCACATATGAAACCATTCAAACCCCAAAATTTAAAGCATTTGGTAGAATATTTGGCACTTTTGTAGCCACTCATAAAGACACTTCCACTTGTAAAATGTTACATGAAACAGAAAAGAAACAAAAGTATATTTCGCACTTTTAGAGCACATTTTGTAGCTATGGAAATCAAGGGTAGATAATTCAAAGGGACCTAACTCTGGATGACCCAATATATTGCAGAATCTGAACCACATTCCGATAATCATATCGCGAGATACTGTACTGGTATATACCGGTTTACCGGTAATATTGCACAGTGCTATTAAAGATTTAAAAAATTGTTTTTGTTTTTCATGACCCCCGACTGTATTGTACTGGGAAGCATTTCGAATTGGGGGGGTCATCTAAAAAAAATAACTTTTTAAATCTTTAATCCTCACAAAGACAGGCGGGCCTGTGGACTGATTTTGAAATTCTGACATATCATCACTTGAATAAATGCTTAAATGATTAGTATAATAATAGTTTGGTGAGTGTAGTTTTACGCCGCACTCAGCAATATTAAGTATAATAACAGAAAATAACACCAACACTACAGAAATAATATCAACTACTCTAAAAAATAACAAGTCTATACAAGTCCTTGTTTAACAACATCTCTGACGGTATTTCAATTTTTTTTTTCACAGCATGGAAGCATGGCCTGAGACAAAAGCCTCTTGTGACAAAAGTTGGGACGTAACTTTTAAAACAGAAACAATTAAAACACTTGCATCCCTACGCCATGATTCACATCCATCAGAAGGTCGCGGCCATCTTTAACAACCTGTTTAAAAACATTAAACAAATAATATCTTCCAGCTTACATAATTGAAAATTTGGATGCAAAATCTAACAATTAATTGTTGTAGATATTGACACCCATCCGGTGGGTAACCTAGCAACACTTTGAAACACTCTTGTCACCATGGTCACCATGATCTAGGTCTGGTTGTCCGTCATGCAGCAAGCATGTGGCTGAGAGATGGTACTACAGAGGTATGATGGTAAATGTTCATTTGAGTCCGTCTTGCTTCATCAATTTCTCCCTAACCCTTGTCAAGGCATACCCCAGGTAGTTGGTCCCCCTCCAACTCCTCTCATCCCAGGCGTTGACGTGGTCCTCCGCGTACCCTATCCCCCATATAGCATCCACCGGACTGGCCTCTACTAGAGTCTTGGGATATGTCGCGAATAACTGCTTCTTCAGGCCCTCATTCTGACCAAACTGAAACATAGTGGAAGAAATTGTATATGCATTACTTTAAAGCCTCTTTTCATCATTGTTTGTTGTTAACACCTCACTCAGTAATATTAGAGCGATGCTGAGGTGGTTTGTAAATAATTGAGCTTCGACCAGACAATCAAATGATTAGCAGCATGAGCATTGATCTAAGCAATTGGGATACAATGACATGTGTCAATCAACTCAGTGAGCCTGACCACCCAATCATCTTAGTTGCAGCGTAAAACTAAACTCACTCTTTCCTTCTTTGCTTTTCAAACCAAGTCAGGACAAACACAGGGGCATGTAACTAATACCCAACCTTGTCTGCATGTTTGTTTTCGTAGAGCATTAGATAGATGGTCGGGTGGGGACTTGTGGTAATAGACATGTATATCATGGATCTTGTGGTGTAAGGGAGATAACTCTCATTCCTGAGAATAACTGAGTAGAATGAATAAAGATCACTGAAATTAAGTATAATTAGGCACCTTGGCTTCATTCGCCTCCTCTACGATTCTGTGGCAGTTATCCTTCCATGTTTTATCATCTCAGTTCTTCACTTTCCGACCAAGGGACTTCTGTTGTTTAGGATCCTGTGTCTTGAGAACTTTTGCAGCATTTTCCTCATCAGCAAACAGCACTTGAACAAAAAATGTCCAGATATTGATACCAACAATCGAACCATCATTACAAAACATGTACAATTTGAATAGTTGTCATGACCTTTTATTCTGATGACTTAATTAATAAAGGTGAAAATGTACTACTTGACAAACCACTTATTTCACCATGCCAAACACTGTAATGGAACCAACAGTTATGACATGAGAGCCCTACATCATGAGTAGTCTAAAGGTCTCAGTCTGACTGTTGGATTCGCCCATGTCTCTCATTTACTGGAAGAAAGTGAGACATGTTCGAAACCAAAATAAAATTGTGTTATTACACCTTGTTCGATCGATCGTTTAATGACGCACTTAGCACACACTCGCATATGTTTTTTAGAATGGAGTCTCTGTTGTTTCAGGAGCACATCTTGAAAAGCATACTATATTTTTACATGGATAGGACCAGTGATGCATATGTGTACTTTGATAGTTTAGAATTGTATAATTATTTTTCAAGTTACCATGGCTACAACAGGCTGGAAATGGTGGCCGTACTGGAGCAGATCTTGAAAACCGTACTATATTTCTTCACCAAATGTTCACCAAATTGGTAGACAACCGCCATAATAGCTGGAATATTGCTGAATGAGGCGTAAAACTAAACTTACTCACTCACCAAATTGGGCAATAAACACTTCTTTTGATGATATGGGAATTTAAACTAAATGTATTTAGTTACCATGGTAACAAGATACAATGGAACCGTTCCCCCATCCTAAATAATATTTATAAATATGCCAAAATTATAAACAAAACTTAATACAACAATTACTAGAGAACTCACAAAATGACCAAAGTCCAAAGTTTAAGTTAGGGTTAGGTTTAGGGGACGGGAGGAACTCTTTCCCAATTATTTATTCCCACATGTATTTACCATTGAGGGGTACTGTCTATCTATGACTAATTAGTCCTTTTCGTTAAAGTTCGCCTACCTGCTTTCTGGTACATCATGTCCTGCTCAGCACAGTTGTACTTCTGGCCATTCACCTCGAAACTTGCTGGGTACCACTGACTGAAGGGAGAATGCATTTTCCAGAAGAATTCGTATTTTTGTTTTGCTTCTTTTAGAGATGTTGCTCCACGAGTGCTTTCCTCGGCCCTTGGGCTGGCAGACTGTTTTAGGGATGGCGTAAAAGTAGGGCCAAGTCTGCAGTCGACATCGCTAACTAAAAATGGATTCAGAATATGGAAAGCAAACCTGTACATTTGGGTCGATAAACTTCCAAGACCCACACAACAACAATGACTACATACCGAGATTCCAGTAGAAAAGACACCCGTCTTGCTCTATGTGTTTTTCCTTGATATGTCTATGGGGGAAGGTTGCTTACTTCTCTTAGTGTGTGACATCCGGGGGTCCTGGGCAGGAAGTGACAGTGTTTTGACTGCTTTTGACTGCTTTTCTTTCCTTAATTAAGATATTGGGGTTCCCTAATTAACCTTTATTGTCTCAGGCTGAATCAGCACAGGATGTTGTTTATGTTAAAGAGGCGTGGATATCGGTGAGTGTCAATGGGCAAATATGACATGATTATGTATATTACGAAGAAATATTTGATTTCGCAACGCAGTGTAATATGTTATAAAGGATCAAACAAAGTATGCATTCACAAATACAAAAATTCTTATGTGTTTTCATTGTAAACAATACCAGCCCAAAGCAGATAGCCAGTGGCGTATGCATATGCTTATATTTACTAATACACATGAAACATAAAATGGTATTATATCTACCTAAATACCACGTTATAAAGTAAAAGTAAAAGTGAAGCCCTTTCTCTCTCCATTCCCAGCGATTTAGGAAAATAAAGTCCTCGGAAAACAAAATTCCGCCAATCAAAAGTGTTTAGTCTCTGTTAGGCCCGACTTGGCCCGTGCTGTCAAAAACAACTAAACCTCACACGTGTATCTTGAAATGTGTTTATATCCATAGATTAGTAATATATCTACCTACATATCACTTCACAGAGTCTCAAAGCGTAGTATTTGAAGCAAAACGCTGCTGAAAGTGAAGCTCTGTTTTCTACATATTCTCAACAAAAAACACTGTATCATACAAGCGTTGATGTGCTTGGCGGTCGAGGCTCTCAAAAACAACTTAAAACCCACACATGTATTCTGATTTGTGTTTAAATCCATAGATTAGTATTATATGTACCTAAATATCAATGTGTGATTTTATAAAATGTCACATGTAAAGATAACTGCTCCGTTAAAGCAGGGATACTCTACAACAGAGATAGACTTATAGGAGTCTCCCTGGTTAAAAGTGAAGCCCTTGTCTCTCATTTTCAACATAGCCTCAATCAAAAGTGTTTGGTCTCAGTTCAGCCCGACTTTTGCCCGTGCTGTCAAAAACAACAAACCTCACACATGTATCTTGAAATGTGTTTAAATCCATAGATTAGTATTATATCTACCTACATATCACTTCACAGAGTCTAGAAGCGTAGTATTTGAAGCAAACACCTTGCTCAAAGTGAAGCCCTATTTTCTATGCATTCTCCACAAGAGACACAGTATCACAAGCTTTCGGTGTGGCTTGGCCCGTCTTGCTCAAAGCGCACCTTATACCTCACAGAATGTATCTTGAAATGTGTTTTAAATCCATAGATTGGTATTATATCTACCTAAATATCACTTTGTAATGTTATCAAATGCAACATGTAAAGATAACTGGTTCGTTAAAGTTATCACTTTTCTCTCTCCATTCTCAACATAGCCTCAATCAAAAGTGTTTAGTCTCTGTTCAGCCCGACTTGGCCCGAGCAGTTATCTTTACATGTTTTATAACATTACAAAGCGATATTTAGGTAGATATCATACCAGTCTATGGAATTAAACACATTTCAAGATACGTTTGATGTTAAGCTGCTTTTGACGGCTCGAGGCAAAGCCGGGCGGAAAATTGTGGCCGAGATAATGTTGAGTGTGGGGAAGAATGAATGTGGGCATACTTTAAATACGATGAATAGTGAATTTATGGGGTGGTATTTGATTGGATAAGATGTAGCGACATCCGGGCCGACGCTAATGTGCGCGAGAATGAGCGTCAATGGCATTTACCCACTCGTTTTAATCCGGGACAAAACGAATACCGACTTCTTGGAGGTTACGCAAAGGGGCGAGTGGTGACGAATGCGTCAATGGCTAGGCCCCGTCTCGCATATCGCAATATATCCTCGCGTACGGTGTTTTCGAGCCCCTAAGACAAACAATGACAATCATGAGAAATGCTTTGGGATATATCAATAATGGTTATCTTACTTTGAATTACATTTATTGTGCTGTTAAATTTGTTAGCTAAGGAGATGCGTCGTTTGTTTGCAGCAGAACATACCTCGAAGTTCGAAGTGACCTAGTTGATCGCCATGTTTTTGTGACGTCACCTCTTTTCGAGCCCCTCAATATTGTTGACGTATTCAACACAGTGTCAGCCAGCGCGGGGTGATCTCAAAACGTGAAGCGGTCTTATGAATTCACAGTCATCCAAAATGTTCCAAACGAGTATAAGTCTTTAAATTTCCGCTATAATGATTAATGTAGCATATATGCACAATATAGCACAGTGACTCGATCGTGAATATGATTTCACTGTTAGTTCTGGCAAATTGTCGTCTCACTGCCGTAAGCGTACATGTATTGTTATGACACGATGAGTTATGGGAACTAGGCATTAAATATTAAAACTTATGTACAGTTGTCACTTCAGTCGACAAACAGGCTCTATTCCTCTGAATTTTCCGAATGACACGGACACCAGAATTCAGCTGTTGATCTCGATCACAACGCGCACCTGCGTACAGTATTTGAGATGTACCCAGTGATCACAACTCGGGTGCGTACACTGAGCCCACTTTGTGAATACAAGCGAGACACAATTTTGCAGTTCTTTCGGTTGAAACAATTTGCAAACACAACACACTTCGTCATCACCCTCATTGTCCGTGTCTGTACCGCTGTCACTTGCGACAACCTCTCGTACATGAGACAATCCAAACGTGCTTGGTTTGGCAGAGAGAGTTGAACGAACTTGTGATACTTTTTTCTTCTGTGCAGACTGTTGCTTCCTCTTCTTGACTGGGTGTTTCTGAGTGTGTTCTTGAATTTTGAAGACTGTATTTTCTTCTGTGATGGCTTTACCACTGACGATAGAGCTGAGGACTTTCAGCTTCAGTGTTGGTGCAGACTTGATTTTGTGCAGAGCGTCTTCCTTCTGTCTAAAAAGTGAGTCGTCGGCTTCGCGGATTTCCTCGGATGCAATAAAAACTGTAGAAGCTAGGTCTCAAGGCTTCCGCAGACACGACAGAATCGTCAAATGGAAATATTCCACATTTCTCAAACGAGAACATCAAGTTTCTTGGAGAAAGAGCCGACGTGTATGCTTTACAAGCAACAGCACACATAGCGTTCCTATCTATGTTGGTGGTGACTTGTTCTCTCATATACGTGTGCTTCATGGAATTGTAGATCCTTTCTAGTGGCCCGAGACAACCAACGTCAAGTGGTTGTAAAACATGAGAAGTGTGAGCTGGCAGTACCATCAAGACAATGTTCCGAGATATGGCCCAGTCAATGATGGGGAGAGAAACATGAGAGCGGTGTCCGTCGTAAAGAAGGAGAATCGGCTGTGACGGATCTGACCTCTGAGCGTATTTCAGGAAGTGATCATTCAAATAAGTGGAAAATATTTCCATATTTGACCACCCTGAATCACTAGTTGTGGCATTTGTACCTGGGTTACATTCAGATAGAATATCCGAACGCAGACGCTGTCCCTTAAATACGAAGTAAGGAGGGATTTGTTGTCCGAGAGCGTTCCCACAACCAATTAAAGTTGTTGTTGATGATCTTGGTGTAGTAACCGCGACACATCGATATTCAGAAGAATATCTGGTTTAGATCTAAGGAAAGTCTTTGTAGAACGCAACCACTACCCACCTGAAATAGTCAACAGAACCATCGAAGCAACGCTTTCACCTCCTGCCAAAAGATCTAAACCAGAATCAGCCCCCATCAAGATATCCATTCCCTACATAGGTAAACCATCACAGCCGACTCCTCCAACAACAAGCAGGCATAGACACAACCTTCTCTGCGTCCTCCAGCCTCAACAACCTCCTCTTTGCCAACGGAAGAAAACAACCCACCGTCAACAACAACAACAACCCGAAATGTGATTGTGGACAAAGCTACATAGGTGAAACATCCCGACGCATCAACACCCGAAACAAAGAACATCACACCTCTGTTGCTGACACCAAATCAGCTATCTCTGACCACATCGAAGCAAACCCCAATCATCAAATAGAGTGGTCCGACTTCACCATTCTCGCCAACAACCAAACGGACTTCACTAAACGCAAGCTCACCGAAGCCATTCACATCAAACGCCATAAGCCCACCATTAACCGTGACCAAGGATACTTCATTCCATCAGCTTATGATCCACTCCTCCACCAAGCCCAATCTATTGTATAAACATCGTCTCCTTCATTGTACCACTCCTGTATCTATACATCTCTGGCTTCCATTCACTATCCTTTGTGTACTCACTGGCTTCATCAGCTTACTGCTTAACCAATTATGGCAATTATGTTGATTCCTTTGTCAATTACTATGTATGTTGTTTCATTGTTATACACAGTATAAATATGCAGCTCCTTCACTTCATGTATCACTCTTGCTTGACAACGGCACAAGAATCTGTATCGAAACGTCGCAATCACGAAATAAAGAAGTTGTTATCCATAAAAACTTGTTCCATATTGTACGTCTCAACTTCTAAAATGCCACTCAAACGAGAATACTTATTGACTTTACATATTCATATCAAGAATGGGCTTCACACATTGTGCCTGTTTGAGAAATCAAACTTAGGCCACATAAAAAATATTCTTGTTTCTCAGCACTTTTTCCAAAAAATATGGGTCGGGCGGGCGGATTTTATTTTGGCATTTTATTTCATTTTATCTCCAAAACCTGTTGATTTTTGTAGAAATTTACTCCTTTTCTCCGACAGAAAATCTTAGAAGTTTGTTTGAACATTTTTTATTCAGTGTTAAAATGGATTGGGCACAAGTCATGTAACTTATTACCGCCCGCTCCC